ATTGGTTACGCGATTTGAGCGCCAGCTTAGTTAAGTGGTTACCAATGTAGGCATTACAACGTTAACGCCTCCACCCCTCAATTTGAAGTCGTCGTGGCCTAAAGGATAAGACGTCCGGTGCATTCGTATCGAGCGATGCACCGGTGTTCGAATCCCGCTGGCGGGTACCAATTTTTCTAATGAAATATGTACTCAGCAAATGTTCACGATTGACTTCCACGGTGAAGGAATACATCGTGCAATAAAAATCAAACCCGCAAAATTATAATTTGCGTAATCACTGGTGGTAGGACCTCTTGTGAGTCCGCACGGGTAGGTACCACCGCCCCGCCTATTTCTGCCGTGAAGCAGTAATTCGTTTCGGTTTGAAGGGTGGAGCAGCCGTTGTGACTATACTGAGATCTTAGAACTATATCTCAAGGTGTGTGGCGCATTTACGTTGTAGATGTCTATGGGCTCCAGTAACCACTTAACACCAGGTGGGCTAGGAGCTCGTCCACATATCTAAGCAATAAAAAAATAATAAAAAAACCCCGCCTGTGGTCGAAGACTTAATCGTGCTGTTTAGTGAAAACCTTTTTAACTTATTCATAGTAACGACTTCGTCGAAATCATTTGCGGCACGTCCGTATACCTCACTGCGCATAGTATTCACCGTCCCAAAGAACCCTGTGTCTAGGTTTGCAGGCTCCTTAGCCTAGAACCAATCTAATACGTCTAATTGACCAGGGACTCGACGTCTTTCTTCTCTATTCTTGAATCGCCTTTGCCCGATTTCATCTAACTATAGGCAGCGACGGCTCGGTAAGCAGCGGCTCTGCTCTGCCTCTGGCATTGCTGAAGTCCACGGGCGACGGTAACCACTCACTGTTAGGTGGGCCGTATGCTCGTCTGCCTACAAGGGCAATAAAAAAAAATACAATGTCACATGTGGCGGGTAGCCATCATACAACGCAAGATAATTGATAGACGCCTGAATCTCGCTTACGACATTTTCAAGATAAAGCGCATATATACAAGTTCCGAACAACAACATTAGGACCGTCGGTCTACCGAGCAATATCACCCGCTCGGTGGAAGATCTTCCTTTCATCGTTTAAGCATCTCCAAANGGCAATAAAAAAAAATACAATGTCACATGTGGCGGGTAGCCATCATACAACGCAAGATAATTGATAGACGCCTGAATCTCGCTTACGACATTTTCAAGATAAAGCGCATATATACAAGTTCCGAACAACAACATTAGGACCGTCGGTCTACCGAGCAATATCACCCGCTCGGTGGAAGATCTTCCTTTCATCGTTTAAGCATCTCCAAAATGGTGACCCCGACAAGATCACATTTGTGTGTCTGAATATGAAACATTATCTTATACTGTTTTTGGATCTCATTTACTAACATGCATAATAACCTATCTCTATTTTTTGCAGGGTTTTATAGGAATCGTGTTATTCGAAGAGCCATCAAGTACCCAATGGTGGGCAGGCGCAATTCTCATTATAATGGGGTTAACATTAATTGCCCGACCGAAGGATAGAGATAAATTCACATAAGATTAACTTTGATTACATTTTATTTGTTTAATGCCTAAGGCATTCTCTACCAGTCAACCAGGGGTAGTGTGAGAGTATACATGTACCTGCATTACTTCATAGAAAAAAAATACATAAATTATTCAACTATTTGTTAAAATTTTAAATCATTTCACGTGTTCAGCATAAATAAAGCAGAACATCGCCGTAAATGTAAAATATGAAGATATTTAACATTTAAGGTGAAGTTATATTATGTGAGAAGAGATTTGAGGCTTATTTTCTATAGGAGGAGGCTATTTTCTAAAATATCATTACTAAAATACAAGAATTAAGTTTATTAAAGTACATTATAAAATCTAGTAGATATAGAAGAATTTTAATTTGAAGTGGTCGTGGCCTAAAGGATAAGACGTCTAGTGTACTTGTATCGAGCGATGCGATTGTGTGGCGATCAAATCCCGTAGGCAGGTTAACATGTCTATCACATGTACGATGACTTCCAAGATGAAGACTAACATCAGGCAACAAAAATCAAATTGACCATAAATATAATTTACGTAATTATTCTAATTTACGTAATTAGGTATTCTACTGTGTGCTTGTCCACTCGTGCCTAAGTAATAAAAAAAAATGTTATTTATAAATATTATGATTAAAATCAAATACATTCCGTGTTTTCTGTGATAAGGGAATGATGGCCGAATATAAAGAAAAATGAAATTTTTAGCTATGGTGCTAATAAAGTAGCATAGGAAAATAAATATAAAATGTTTTGAAAACGCATAAAAATGTGTTTCTTTTGTTTTCTTCACGTTTCTTATATTAACATCTGACTATGAACTTTTTTCTAATTTTGCATACATACATCAGCATACTATTGCAGTTTCTCCGGTCACCGTCCTCGTCGAACCCGTCGACGAAGGGCTCGACGAGCGAATTAACCCATAGACACAGCCCACTTGAGTTTCTCGCCGGATCTTCTCAGTGGGTCGTGTTTCCGATCCGGTGGTAGATTCTGCGAAGCACTGCTCCTGCTAGGGCCAGTGTTAGCAAAACTCCGGTTTGAGCCCCGTGAGCTCACCTACACGTGAAGGGTGAAGCTGAAATAGCCTCTAAAGGCTATCAGCATAGGTAGGATAAAAAAAAAAAATAAAGCAGTTTCTATTTCGAGAATAGTTGCCCTACACCCGTTATATTGTTAAACAGTGTGTAATCATTTAACTTCGTCTTATTATCTAGTACACAATATTACAACAACACATACATTGTTGGGTCGTCAAATGTTTTGTAAAATTTCTATGCAATTTTAATCGCACAACTAACTAAATGCCCCTATATTTCTCGACACACAGTCCAGAAGATTTAAAAAAATGTAAAATAGACAATAAATTAAAAAAAAAAATTGTTTCATACAGAATATACTACATATTTGTAAATAAATTACCTGTTTGTAATAATTTCAATAAATTAATATCGCTCCTTGTAATTATTTAGAAAAAAAAACATTAATCTAATTCAATATAAATTGTATTTTAATAAATCTTTAAAAACCTTGTGTATGTACTGTATTTAATATTTTCCCTTTACGCTTAGATCTGTGCGGAGTTTCCAGCGAGTCGTTAAGGCGCGATATCTTCGACTTTTTTAACCTTACAAAACTCTAGTGTTGGCATGTAGATTATTCTATCGATAGTTAATTTGCAAATAAATTTAAATTTTTTTTATGTTACTATTGAATTTAGTATTGAGGTTATTTAGTTGCCATCGGAAACTGTGTTAATAATAAAGTACATAATTATAACAAATATAGTTCAACACAAGATTCATACTGCAGAAGATGAAAAGATGAGTTCATCTGGTAATCAATTATTTTCGGAGCCAACACAGGTATATACCACCAAGAAAAGCGATGCGCACCATCTCATCATGCCTTGCTTAGTATACTGTCCTACAATATAAGACCAGAACACATAAACACTAGCATCGCATAAGGAATATTCATCAAAGATTAGGCAAGCTGGTGCTATGTACTCGCGAGGACTCACAATATGAAATATATCATATATGAGTCGTCTATTATCAAAGGTGGCAATCTGTGCATTAGGACAAAAAAATGTTATTGATATGTCAATACAGATTGATTTGAATATAATCGTCTCCTTCAAAGAATACGGTTCAAAACCTGCATTAAATAAAGGTTAATACTTAACCTGTTATTTATCTAAGATGTCGTTCAAAAGAGTTTTGTGACTGCCAATGAAATACAAAGTCAATAATTCGTTTTTCTGATTTACCAATAATTGTCCAAAAGTCACATTGCCGGCTTTGATAATAGTCGACTCATATATCCATATCACCCGCTTGTTAGAAGATCTAACCTTTGTCGTTTACTCTAAATAGTTTTTGATGTGACAACGTCTTATAATTCGATGGACTGCACGCTTGAAAAAACATGACTCATGCGGCGTTACCTCGCTCTGAGGGCGTATATGTTTTCGTCAAGTATGAAGTTCAGTGAAAAGTGAATGTGGTGTCAATTGTTTATAGCAACGATAATTGCAATAGTTGAAAAATGAAACCATTCCATCAATATTTTCTTATGACTTCAACTATCGTCAGTAAACCGACTTTACAGACAACCGATTTTTTGGAGTTTACTCCTTTAGAATCGATTTACATATATAGGCCCGGGGTATGAAAATTATGGGGACCAAAATCGTACTAGCATGTCACACGAAATGCGTTATGCGCCTGATTGGCTCCTGATTGCGTGATGCGTGCGCGCGCCAATCAAAATCGTACTAGCATGTCACACGAAATGCGTTATGCGCCTGATTGGCTCCTGATTGCGTGATGCGTGCGCGCGCCAATCAGGAGCCAACGCGCGGCCGCGTTATCGCAGGTGACGCCGGGCTGCTGCGCCGGCAGTCCGCCACAAAGCCTCGTACTGATCGCGCGTTTCTCTCATTATTGTATTTTCATATATTTGTTAGTCGTTTGTTTTGTGTCTCGTTAATTTGTTAATAATCTGTAGTGTATCGTGTTGTCGTAATATAGAACTATTTCTCGTATTGTTTCGTTTAATTTTTTATATCCAGTAAACTCCAGTCGTGCGTCGGAGCGGACACACACACTTTTTTTTATTGAGACCTTACAACTTATATCTCAGGGTGGGTGGCGCATTTGGGTTGTAGATGTCTATGGGCTCCAGTAACCACTTAACATCAGGTGGGCTGTGAGTTCGTCCACTCATCTAAACAATAAAAAAAAAAGCTCAGGTATCAGTTTATTATCTCACAATGTTACATTGACCTAATACAAAATAATAAATAAAACAAAATAGGACAGTAATACAATACACAACATTTTACATTTGTCGACATTAATCACAGATAGCCTACAACCCTATTCGGTTCTTAGACGCAGTGACGCCCGTACGGCAGTGGCGCGACTCGGGCCGAGCGTTCTGCACGTATAAACACGCTCGTCATCAGCCCGAGTGCTCGATTCACATTCCAGCACACTAACATCACATAAAACAAAAAATCGATAATAGAATACACCAAAAATCATTTAAATTATCGATTACAAGACAAAAGCCGCAGTGCAGATTTGAATTATCACGACCGTTTTATAAAGTGTCTTCGATGGCAACATCGATATCGCATGGCGAACCGGCATCAACACTGTAGTCATAGTGACGCGTTTATGTTGACATTATTATTTTTTTGTAATTTTTTCTATATACCTACGTAAGTTGCAATGACAAAAACATTCTGTAATTTCAATAGCAGCTAGTGTTTGTGTCACATAAAAATGGGAAATGGAATGAACAAGGTATTTTGCAATGTTATATATGTCATAACAATTCATGGTCATAACAATTATTTATTTTTCTATTCGACTGTTTTTCTCTTCGATGCGCCAATTACGTAATGGTAACGTTGAGGATCGTAGACCGTAGTTCGTATCGTATCGCGTACGTAGCGTGTGGCATCCGAAATATACTACCTTTTTTTATCATGTTTATGAATTGAAATGAAATAGGGAAATGCCTATATTATTTAAAAGCTTATCAGTATGTATGAACGATAAAATATACTTTTTTTTTAAACCCACCGCTTAACACAAAGATACAACAAATACTTTAACACCTAATTATGAAGTTTAAATCTATAGTATCAATTGTATATTTGACTACTAAAATCAAATATATATTTTAATTTATTATATAAATATATATTAAAATAATAAATAAATAATAAATTAAGTAATAGAATAATTAAAAGAAATATAAGTTTAATATAAAAGCAAATCATTTTCAAGCGAGTTTTAAATATATTAATCACTATATGAAGGCGTAATTGTATTTTCAAGAGAAGAACACTTTAATTTTGAGAAGCCACGACATTATAAACAATCTGCCCTTTTACATGACATAGGCCCCTTCCAATACACGCCAAGAGCTAGCCACATAAATAACTATAAAACTATAGCAACCATAAACGAGTATCACAACAGTCCAGGAGCCATTGGGAACACTGTGGCCTGCAAGATTGATGTACTTCTTCAACATTGCACATTTCGCTCACACACTGAATTCATTTTGAAAATATAATTCTGATTATTAAAGACAATAAAGTACCTATACTTTCATACTATTTTTATTATATTTTAAATGTGGCAGTATTTTTAAAAAATGCTTAGATGGGTAAAAGTTTTGTCTATATTTACGTACTAAGGCCAACAAAAGTGCACTTATGCAGCCTCCTGTACCAACTGATCTATAAATCGACTATGTGAAATATGGAGCTTGAGCGGAGCTTGATTTTTTAGTTCGGAAAAATACTTTTTGAAGTACAAATGGAACGCGCGCCATCCATGAAATATGTTATTCATAAAAGTCATGAACATTTATTTAGATCGCCTCGATTTCGACCCTGACCGGATCTGGGATCGGCTGCCGGTCGAATCCCGGCTAACTTTGTTACAGATAGTTGATCTGAGTATAACATCAGTTCATTTGTCTCGTATATGTGTGTTTCCGGTCCACCTAGGGCAGAATCAAAGCTTGAAGCTTGAAATGGGATAATTTAAAAAAACCGTAGCCAATCAAGGCCATCCTTGAAAAATTTTTTTATTTTGATCGAGACGGATGTAGCTGTAGATTAGTGAAATAAAAATATATTAAGAGTAAAAAAAAAAAATGTATCCCTACAAATAAACATAGAGAAATGCGTGTGAAAGTTTGATATTCATAATCCAGCGTGACCCCATTATTATTGACTTACGTTCTTAATAAATTAACAAAAAACATTTTAATCTCTCTAGTAAACACATAATATAATCCAGCTATTGGCAACTGGATTATGCGAACGGCTTCATAATTAAATTGTTTGGTAAGAGCAATTGTGGTGTTTGAATTCGAATCAAAATTTTCGCGTCCGCCTTTTGGCTGATTTGAATATCGTTTTAGTACTGTTCACTACATCTAATGGATCGAACGCCAGGGAACTAAAGGCGTGAAGGTACCCGTATTTAAGTAACCATAACCGCTTAACATCAGTTGGCCCGAATTATCGTCTGCATACACATACATATTATTACATATTATGTATTATTCATATTATGTATTATTAGATATTATCTATGTAGCAGCGGACAGCGGCTTGTGCAATAACCATTGCTGATGTTCGTGAGCGCATTGTCTTATTATCAGATGGGTCGTTTGTACCGATCTATAATGGCTTTAAAATTATGATCGCTGAGAATATTTTTATTCGCTTCTGCAATTGATTAGTTGAAAATAGTGAATCACCGATGATGATAACGTCTTTGGTAATCTATGTCTGTAAGATTATTTTTTTCTGAAAAAAATATTAAGGAGATGTGTAAAGTACAAACGTATATGTAAGTACTTGTAATTTTTTCTTTTATATTATGTGGTTTTATTAAATAAATCTACGTAGTTGAATACAATTTCGTACATAATACGAGGGCGGCACTGAAAATTTCGGGAATTAACGAAGTGACACAACATTACTATTTAAAAATGTATTTATTGCTTTTCGAAGTATTCTCCGCGAAATTTGACACATTTTTCCATACGATGGAACCAATCATTAAAGCAACCATTCCATTCGGAAGTTGGGGTCTCCAAAATGGCCGTTTTGTAGGCGTCCACAGCTTCTTCAGGTGATGAAAATCTCTGTCCACGCAATTTATTCTTTATTTTAGGGAAAGTATAGAAATCATTAGGGCTTAGGTCGGGGCTGTACGGCGGATGGTCTAATAATTCTATGTTTTCTTGCTCTAAAAACTCTTTTGTTCTGTGCGCGGTGTGAGAACTCGCATTGTCGTGATGGAGGATGATGCGGCGGTTGCAGTTCTCTTTACGGAGTTCAGAAACGACCTGTGGCAAACAAATGCTAGCATACCATTCTGCATTAACCGTTCTTTGTCCCTCAAGAGGAATAGTCGTAACATGGCCGGTTTTGGAGACAAACGTGGCCACCATTTTTTTTGCAACACTCCGTGAACGAACAATTTTTGTTGGCTTTAACTCATTTTCGAACACCCAAACTCGTGACTGGTTTTTTGTTTCGGGTTCGTACGCGTATATCCAGGATTCGTCACCTGATACAATGTTGTATACAGCATTTGAGGATCCTGCGTGGAATCTTTCGAGAGTTCTGACGCACCAAGTAACGCGAGCCGCTTTTTGCTCTTCACAGAGCGAATGCGGTATCCATCGGGAAAACAACTTTTTTACACCTAATTGTTCATGCAAGATTATTTGTATTTGACTCATGCCAATGTCTAAAGTTGCCTGAATTTCGCGGTATGTCACATGTCGATCTTCCTCAATCAGCTTACGCACAGCATCAACGTTTTCTTGGGTGACTGCAGTTTTTGGACGACCTTGACGGGGATCATCACTGAGCTTGACACGTCCACGTTGAAACTCAGCAAACCAGCGATAAATTGTGGTTTTGGATGGGGCTTCATCACCAAATGCAGAAATCATCCGGTCAACACACTGTTTTTGTGTTAAACCACTTCGAAAGTCATAATAAATCATCGCTCTTGAATTTTCTCGAGTCAATTCCATTTTCTCAACGACTAAACAAGTTTGACAAAACCTCGTGACAAGACCGAGAATCTTTTTTTAAATAAATAAATGGTATTCGATTTTTAAAACCAAGGAGTTTTCAATTAAAAAGATTTTAATATGACAGGAACAGTGGAAATATTCCATTCCCGATACTTTTAGTGCAGCCTAGTAATGTACGAAATAATATTTTGTTATTACTTTCATAATGAACTTAGGTTTCGTTACAATATATCCGTCGATGTTAACGTTATAATTTACTAATTTTTAGGTCCAATAAAGTATACCCTGCATTCTAATTGTATCACAAAATTTCGAACCTATCATTCTCACAGACGTGCCCCTAGCGATTTATTAACCAGATTGCGTGTAATGTATCGATTGATGACCGAATACTTTGTGACATTTTATGAGCCTGTTTGTGAAATAATGCCTTGTTTTTTTCATCGACAACTCGTAAAGGCTGGCAATTTGCCTCAAAGCAATGAATCCAAACGGATACATGTGAATGTTAATGAACTACAAACAATATACATTAGATACGGCTATCATTCTTGTATCGTAAAAAATACCATTAATCACTTTCATATTGAATCAATATGACGGTGATTAATGTGGTGAGGCGATGGTTTGCGAACGGTTGCCAACAGAAATTCCGAGAAAGGCGATGATAATGATGCTATTGAACTATTATTTTTATATTAACTATAACAATTTCCTGTACAAAATTAAGATACATCGCGACACATGGTTGCTTCGTATGCCTATATTGCATTATCATTCACACATTCGTATGCATATTATCGCTCAAATAATTCATTATAGAATACGGGTAGAAGATTATTTTGTTCTTACGGTACATCTCACAGTTTTAAAACTATGTTTTTTATTCTTAAAGAGACAACAGACTGTTATAGGTTCGAGGCTTGTTGAGGACTTTTAAAACATTTCGTGACAATTCATATGAATAATAATTATATATTGAAAACATTTAGTGACATCAATTAGTTTAGGTCGATTTTAAACGTACGTTGGACCTAGTGGTTTCCTTCATTATACTCGAGAGTAATGAATGAAACCAATGGAAGTAAGCCAAACAGACTGTAACAGTCCAATAATACTAAATCCGACAAACTAAATGAGTTCGTCTCAATAATAAGAGCAGGTGTCTTATAGGATTGTTTTCTTAACCAAGTCGTCCCCAGGAAAACACTGGTCCATCTGTTTACCCATCCAATATATTAGAATCGAAATTGAATTTTCTGGTCTCTGGCTCATAGTAGTACTTCAGCCAAATTGGTTATTTGATGCTAGTAGCATACTTGTATTTATCTAGTTGTTCTGTAATTCTTAGGAAAAAGTGTCGATGGTAATTAATTATTAATAGCTAGTGATTTCATGTCTCTCATGTGAAACTACTCTAGTGTACTAAACTAGCCATGATCCACTGCGCTTTCAACTCTTTTACAGATATTGGTTTTTAATATGAAGTATGTTAATGATGAGCTGATGTTGTGCTACTTAATAGATCGGCGGGGGGAAATCGTATTTTATAAAGAAATTCAAGATATTTTTATCATTTATTTACATTTAAATATGTACATATATGCGATTTTCTTTGATGACTCGTTGCCATTTTGTTAGTAGTAACGTAATACCGAAACTGAAGATTTTTTTTTAAATTCTAGAAAATACTGCGGCAAGTAATTTGACAGTCCTGTCTTGTTAATCTAATTCAACCCAAATAATCCTGAAGAAACCTAAGCTGGTAAATATCTGAGGGTGCAAGGACAGGGCTATGTCAGATAAACTGTATCTATTTAATGGTATGAAAATTAATCAGATACAAAGAGTATGATCAAAGAAATTTTCTTCTTTTTTAAATCTTACCCAAATACAAACAGTCCAAACAAAACTTAATTACAATATTTTAACTCAAAAACAGATACAAAAAGTACAACTACAGAGATTTTAATGCAAATTTCTATTATACTTATAAAGTACAAAAAATAATAGTTTAAAAAAACTTAAAAAATACGCTTATATAGAAAATTCAGCTAAAAATAGAAAATTATTTTCATTTAAAAAAAAAGCGTGAGGTAATACGTAGTTTGTACGGTGGTGAGGTACGTGAGGTACGTATTCATAACTATTGATATAAATATTTTATTGACAGATATTATAAGTAGAAGGATTATAATTTTGATAATATTTTAAAAAGCAAGTATGAAGCTAATAAAAGCGTATTAAAAAAAAGAACCGGATCTATTATTTAAATTGCTAACATAAACGGCAGTTGACCAATGAATGCTCCACGGTCTGCATAAGTTATAAAGCAATCATGCCTCGCATTGCACTGGCCATAACGAAGACATTTAACTGGGTAGCAAAATATTCTAGCCTGCTTATTTTTAGTCACGTTTCTATGATTCCATCGACGCATTTCTTTTCGAAATAGCTTTAATTAATAACATTACAAATTGGTTATTTTCGTGAAATTGAAAATGACGGAATGTAAACTACGTTATGCGGGAGAAGCGCGTCGATCGCTACCCGAAACTGGCTAAGGTCGATCACAAAACTTGAGAAACTTCCTCTGAATTGATTGATGTATTGGATATTAAAATTTGGGTTCGTTCAATTTTATTCAATTGCTTTCGATAAATATTTCATTACATTTTATTATGCAACGATTTAATATCCGATATATAGGTATTTGCTAGATGGGTAGGTAGGTACTTAGCTTTTTACATGGGGATGTAAAGGACTTTATGACGGGAACGCGAGGAGTGAAGTTGCGTGATTTGTTTTATTATGTCTATTTAGTGTTTTTTCCGGTTTAAATGTGTAATAACGGAGGTTTATTAACTGTTTAATAGCTGTGAAAGTGCACAAATGTGGGAAAATGAAAAAAAGCCGCTGGACGTATCTTCTCGGGATCCTCCGAATGTTCAATAAATGACCACCATTTTACTGAGATTATATTTCATCCGATAACATCTCATCTCATTACATTTCATTTCATTCCAGCTGATTCATGCCTCAAATTAATCATCTTCATTTCATTTCATTTCACTCCATATTATTATTTTTCATAAAAATATTAATTTCATAAATTAAAATAAGACATGACTTAAAGGTCTTAAAATCCTTTTTTTTGTGAATGTAAAGCTTTTCTTGTTTGTTTGTACAAGTATTTCTGCCGCATGCGAAAATCACTGAAGAGGACAATTGGAGTCATATTGTTTAATCAACTTATTTTTTCAAAAGTCTTAGTAAATTTTTTACAAAGTTTAACAGGTCATCCTATCATACTTATCGGAGCTACAGTAAACGGACAATCTTTTGTGATTCTTAAATTTCGCTTAGAAGGTTTTGGCCTGATTGTTAATTCGATTATGCTTATAACCTAGCCCTAAGTTGAGTAATTGGGCTCATTTGCCTTTTAAGACCTCGAAGGAGGTGAGAGAATCTGAGATCGGTTAGTGAATTGTGCGCGCTCTCTTTCAAAGGTTTACGCAAACGAACATCTCAACACCAGTTACCGTACCTATTTCATAAAACATTAAAGGCACATCACTTTACGAATATCTTTTTTTTATGATTGAGAGCTTCCTGGTGGCTCTGAGGCCTTTCAAGTTTCACAAGGACAGGTGGGCGAGCAAGGCCTCAGCCAGAAGGGGCGGGATTTGCTAACAGCTATCGGAGCGCCTCCAAGGGAAACCTAACAACTCAAGAGTAGCTGGTTCGCGAATGAATCTACTACCGGATCAGAATCGCGACCTCCGCTGAGAAGATCCGGCGAGTAACTCAACGGGCTGATGCTTTTGTTAGGTTGCACGTCGAACTCTTTGCCGAGGTCTCTACTTCTAGTGTTAGAGCGAAGGCGTCGTTTACGAATATCATCAATACGTTCCATCGTAAAGGCTCATTACACAGTAAAAAAATAACAAGATTAACGAATAAATACGATTCATTTTTGTTCTATCAACAATTATTGCTTTTATAAACTTGACATAATATGAACATACACTTGGCGAAAGCAGTTTCATACCAGTCTTCAGCGTAAGACTCTTCAAATTGAGTTTGGTATAGTAAATACAGTGACAAAAGATTTATCGTGCACGAAAGCATGTCAAGGAGCTTTGTAGGAGGAGGACACACGAGAATGACAAATACATACTAGTCTTGTAGACATTGAGTCTACGAAACAAGTTGAACGCGAAAAATAAACGCGTCTTCGCATGCTTGATTTAATAATAGCTATTTTTGTGGCCAAACTATATACAGAGTATTCGTTTAAAAATTACTCGTATTTTCTTAGTTGTATCGGTCAAAAACTTTACATGTATCCGGATGATAATTATATATAACTAGCCGTACGTTTATTGTGATTATTATTAGGGAGTCCTACACTCATATAAATATTAGCCTATCCATTAAGTACATGTATTTTCTACATGGCTACCCAGTTTCAAGTCAATCGGATGCATGGTTCAGTAGTTATAACGGAACATCCGTAAAAATCACTGTAGATATTTATATATTAGTATAGATACAAACACACACATAGTTTCAGATTGAGAAGTAAAAGGCTTTTAAGGGACATTTCGCTTAATTCGCGATATTTATCTTTGTACTTAAGGGTTCGTTTTATTTCGATTTAGCATCAACAATTCGATGTTTTTAACTGAACTTCAATTAAGTTTACCACCCCGTTCAAATAGCTGAAGAAGATTTTTTGTAATGATTTTTTTTTCAAATTTTATTCTTTAAATGGCTCTACTGGAAATTTGTAAAAATGTCGCTCCAAACCAAATAGCCTTTCACCCCTCGATATGATTAGAATCGGTTGACGAATATAAAATAAAAAGGCTCTAAATTTTTCCAATCTAATAGGTACGCTAAACGCAAACAAAATACAATCGAAACCTCATTAAAATAATAATCACATATACAGTACATCAGAGGAAGTGTGAAAGTAGCCCCGGTAATCTACAAATTAAGGAGCGTTTAGCGTGGTATGGACATGTGATGCGTAGAGAGAAGATGCATGTGACTAGGAGGTGTATGGAAATGGTAGTGTAAGGTAGAGGGAAAGAGGTCGACCGAAGAAGACATGGATGGAGGGTGTGAATAACGATATAAGAAAGAGAGAGGAGGGAGTGTTGAGATGACGGTTGATAGAAGTGAATAGAAGAGAAAAATTAGCTGTGCCGACCCCACCCAGTGGGATAAGGTGGGGAAAAAGAAGAGATTAAAATAATAATCACAAAAATTTCAGCATGAATGCTGAATCGCATCACTGTATGTGTTAATAATAAAGGGCAATGAAAAGTTTACTTTATAATGAGAGAAGTTAAGCCGTCGCCTATTCCTCGACAAAGTTATAGAGCTTGTTTAATGCGGAGTACTTAATGAGCGAGGAACCTAGATTGCATAATGTTATCATTAGAAACTATAGGTATAGTGTTAACCAAAATGCTAAATGAGGTAATGTTAAACTTATAGAACCGGGTCGGGCTTCTATTCGCTATAATGTATTCTTAGAACGTGTTCTTAGAATGTTTTCTTAGAACAAATCTTTTTCCTGGAGTGCGAACAATAACAATACCAAGTATTACCGATCGGATAAACGGTACGGACGCATTTCGTAGAGGACATATCAAAGATAGGATTCCCATAAAGGTTTGGGGCGGAATTTCCATAATTCCTTCTTTATCAAGTAAAGCTTACAATAATAAAAGGCAGCAGTAGCCAAAATTTAGTTTGGATTTCCAGCGGCTTAGGCTTTGTGTTGATGAATTACGAGTATATGATATACCCAATACATATATATTTAAAATACGCTTAATTTATACACAAGTCAGTTATATAAGATGAATGTATTTATACGAAACAAAGCTTAAAGATGAATATATACGACGTATTATACACGGCACGGTGACGGTAGTGTCCGCATAGAAAATGGCTAAACGATTCTAAACTCACACGAGCTTGTTGACCTGAGAAAGATTTATTTTATTTTTTTACATTTATTGATGCACAAAACAAATTACTACCATAGAAAATATAAATTTAAATATTTAATATAATAATCTGGATTGCAATTCAAAACACGTACATACAGAAAATTTATAACAAGTGAACAGATGCTCAAATACCTTGTGTGTATTTATACATGTATACACAAAATACCCAAAAATATGGAAAAACATGTATTTTTTTTTAATAATACGTATGTTATTTTATTAGGTACTCCCCGGTCTATACGTGGGCAACTACAGAGACTCTAAGGACACCGTACAGCTAGAGAAATACAAGATAACACACATACTATCCATACACGATGCCGCTAGAAGACTACACTCTGTAAGTACTCCGAACTTTTATCGAACGATTTTAAAAATGTTAATTAACCTCCACTCAGTCAGTCAGGTCAGGGTCAGGGACCCCTGCACTCCAGAAGCAAAAAGGAGGGTTTTTTTCCTACCCATGCTGATAGCCTTGAGAGGCTATTTCAACCTCACCCTAACATGTAGATGAGCTCACGGGGCTCAAACCGGAAGTGTTGCTAACACTGGCCCTAGCAAAAGCAGTGTTTCGCAGAATCTACCACCGGATCGGAAACGCGACCCACTGAGAAGATCCGGCGAGAAACTTAGTGAGGAAAGGAGGGAAAATAGTATTTTAATATCAGATCAAAATATTGTTGGTTTACGAATCTATGCTAAAATGTTTGTCGTTCGCGTGAATAGTTTACAGTAAACATCTAAGATTTATAATATAATAAACAAACCGTATTTTATGTTATTATGTTTTTGGTGTACCGTCGTTTATTAGAAGCCGTCTACTAAGTCATAGAAATATGGGCTTACATAAGGGTCGGCATGGCTTGGCCAAGCAGTTCCAAGTCCTGAGATACCTTAATCGCCAAGTTCCATAACCTCTGAGTTAAAATGAAATAAAGCACCCCGCATTTCTCCAATTCACAGCAAAAAAAAACGTTTACCATTTCGTTTATCATTCAATTGTTGCTAGTAGTCGCCCGGTAGTTGAAATTCGACTATAATTATTAATCTAAATTATAAGTTTGAACATGATTATGGTTCTATTGTGAAAGAATTTAGTTCTATAATCAGAGATTTCGCTAAGGCTACACTATAGACAAATAATATTAAAGAAATCAATATTAATCTATTCCCAACTTGACCACAGACTTTAACAATAAACAAAATAGTATACCTATATGTAATGTGTTTTGTAATGAAACAAAGAACCAAGTTGTTGCTCTGCAAAGAGTGTGTGTGTCAAATACATGTTAGTGTGTGTAATGTATTCTTTATTGGCTTAATGTAATTTTTTTGTATTACTTAAAAAATATATTAGCGTTGTGCACTCCTTCCCTATATTCTCTATAAGTGGGGGAAATTTCATACTCCTCCGTCCGCTCAATTTTCGTAAAAAGGGGCACAACGTTTTTGCTTCACGTATTAATATACAGATACTATGTTAGTACTAGGTACTATGCTATATTTTAAAAATGATTGTACATAAATATTTTTAATGAAGCTATTTAAATTACTGTTGTTTGTAATTTTTTAAAATGTTATATTATACTAGTTTAGCAACTCCACTAAATTGTAATGTCGAGGGATCCCATATCTGCGTCAGACTAACAGTGTATCGTGCTGTGAATAAAGTTCATTATTCATTGCACCGTCTATCACTAGTCTAGGTAATTAAGTTAGAAGCAACCTCGGTATAATGCGGCTTGTTGATGAGTTTGACTCAAATTAAGGAGGGTCGTACATCGTATTAAAGTTGTAGCGCCTTACAACTGCTTAGAAATTTGAAAATCCCCTTGCTCGCGATAAATACATACTTTAACATTTGAATGAATTGAGAGCAGCAGGGCTATACGCAATAATTTCAAATTGTTTTGGGTAAACTAAGTTCTTTTTAAGATATTGTAGATGTATATTCGGTTGTTCACAGTTTATTTTTATTTTCATTTTATTTATTTGTTATTGATTAGATAAATGAACTAGCTCACGGACCACCTGGTGTTAAGTGGTTACCGAAGCACATAGACATCTAGAACGTAAATTCCGCCACCCACCTTGAGACATGAGTTGTAAGGTCTCACTTTTAACAGTACAACGGCTGCCCCGCCCTTCAAAACGAAACGCATTTCTGAAGCGAAGCGAGGGCGGGTCGCTAGTCTTAAATAAAACTGTCACAGTTAGATGCATTTTCATGTTCTGTTACAATTCTGAAAATCATCCAACAAAGCTTATCGACATTACTTAAATTCTCTAAAAGAGTGTTAAATATTTTTCTAACACTATTCGAGTTACACTAAGTGATTCTCCCCATATTAGTGTCGTAAGTAAATTGTCATAGAAAATAACACCGTGAAATTATTCGTGTACCTTTAGTAATGCGTAATAGTATTAAAACTAAAAATATCTGCCAATTTAAATTTAAAAGACCGGACATAGTGTGTTACTTGATCGATTAGTGTATAATTGGAACGAAGTTCCTTACGGCAGGCTTGGAGGAGATAGGGATTTTGCTGCGCGACCGAATTGAAAAAAAGTGATAGTAAAACCGTAAGAAAAAGTCCGTGGAATAAAACCGTTAAATGAGACGTGCGCAGGCGCGACAGTCGTATACACAAGCGAGTAGTGTATAATACCTTTCTCTTTCTCCTTCTTTTTTTTGCAAATTGTGTCGATTCTACATTAGCCGAAGGAACTTCGTTCCTACCTGGTGTCCCACGACACCACATTTTTCTTCTAAATTTAATGTTTATGTACCGCCTGGTATTAACAATTACACTGCCAAACAAAAATTAAGTAAATTTTTATTTCATTTACTGTTCTTAATACTAAATTGTATGTAACGTAAAAAGGAGAAATACGCGTATTTCACTTCCTTTCATTTAGTTGTATGACTGACGAGGAGCAGTTTTGCATACTGAAGCGACCATCCGACGTCCGATTGAATATTCATGACAATTTGTTTCAACTTCGACGTAAGCGCTCGCAAATTCAACCAGCTGGCCATCACAGTCAAATGATTCCGCTACGAAGCTGATACAATATTTAAATGTATTTTTAATTATTTAAAATTGTGCATTTTTATGCGAAAAATTATGGCACGCAGTGTATCCAATTCTTATTAGCATGTCCGTGAGTCGTCTCATTTTTATTTTTGTATTTCGACCATAGAAGTTTTACGCGTTCCTCAAACAATATTTATAATTATAAAGCAACAACTATTTTTGAGAGTTTAATTGTAGGTTTCATACTTTAGTATTTAATTGTCATTTGCATTAGCCATGACATCTCATGGCTAATGCTAAATAATTTTATTATAGGTATTATGTAATGTGATAGGTTAATAGAAAAGGTGTGTTAAGGTTAATTAGCCCACAGCGAGTGTGATAATCGAATAGTGTGAGCCATGTTCATATTTTTTTTTTATATGAGCAAAATTTGAATGTATACAAAAAAAAAACATCGCGTAGTTTGGTGAACGAGCTCATGGCCCACCTGTTGTAGAACTGTTATGAAACTCCCCGCCTTTCCGACATTAAGTTTAAGTCCCAATCATAATTGTATATTGGTTAATTGCAGTCACTCTTTGAAACCGGAATGCGAAGACTGTTTCGCGATAGAAATGTCAAATTATGAGCCCCTATTGGTAAATAGTTGAAATTGTAACTAATAACCTCTTTTGTATTGTGATGATTGATTTTGATGCGATCTACGAATTCGCGGCAAAGTGCCAGCTTCGAAGCTGAATAAACTAGCGCGAGCAAGGCCATCTAGCGGAATGTCACTGACCCACTATTGTTAAATGCTTGCTTCAGGATATTGAACCTAAATGTGTTTTTGAAAATGTATTGTGAGAAGGTGAGAAAGCTGTACGTACATAGATTACTTTAAAATTATAAATAATTTACTGTTAGGCTCTTACGGGGGAATATAAAAATCACACCGTATCTGCGGCTCATCATGAAGTCGATTCTCAATAGCATCAAAACAGCAGTATTTTTGAGAGACATTGCCAATAATTTGGTTTTTGACTTCGTGAATGATGCATCAAATTAGAAGTTATAGTAAATTTTGCTTTATAATTCTTATTTAAAAGTTCTTAAAAAAATTCGACGTCCAAGAGTGAGACGTTTTAACTTTTAGTAAATGTTCGCTTTATAGGTACCTAATCCGTATAAAGTATATGTATTTGTGTGGCAGGGAAGAAGTAAAAAAAAACTTACCCTAAAAACAATTTGTCACCAGACTCTACGGTTCATCAATTCTCTTTAAAGACGACATCCTAAATCCCGTCAAGGACTTTACTTAGTACTTATCGATTGTAATTCTGTTTGTGGTTTCCTACAGCAAAATAAAATAATCACAACATTTACACACTCGAACGCGATTCTGATCCTTGCGGCTAAGATTTAAGCTCTAAGTTCGCATACTGATTTGGAAACGTTCGGTGAATAAAACAGCATTACTTGAGACGATAAATTTTAACTTTTTTCCTTCGTTGATGCGACATTCTTTCCTTACGATAGAACCTTAAACTTGTTCACTTTGTTTAAAAACTGAATATTACAGATTTCAAACTATATCAATACCTCATAATATGAGGTAAATTATAAAACATAATAATATACTTAATCAAATAAAGACATCTTCACTTAAAATAGCGTTTAAAAAAAAACATATTTTTTTTCTTCTAAGTATAATAAGACGTAAAGCACACAGTAATGTACAAATATATTATACTGTAATTTAAAACAGCCATACGCCGCCATATGGAACATAAAATCCAGACACAAAACGCGAGCTATTTTACTTTACCCCCAAATCCCACACATGTCGAAGAAAAATGAGCAAACGTTTAAGAAACATCTATAATACGATACGGACTTCGCTTTCAGAATAAATTTGTTGTACAAAGAATGCATTCTAAGATCACTAGAGTCCCGTAATGTTCACACATTCTTTTAAGTGTCTTTCATTCCATGTTAGGCCAACCTTTTTTCCTGTTTGTATTATTTAGACGGAACCTTTTCCCTGTCGTTTCTGTTATTATCACATGTAATTTCGCTGCTTTAAAACCGAGTTCTGGGGACTTCGAAAAATATATTTTGAAAAACCATTTTTTAATTTTGTTTTATTCAAAGATTTATCTATTAATTGTTTCCGACCTGTATATTATTATAACACTTAGTTTTTGTTGTGTTATTGAAGTCTACCCCTCCTCGACAGCAAAGTAATTAATGTTTTATCTTTAATATTTATTAGACAAAACTGTCGTCACATTCAACTGTTATCCTTAAAGTATTAACTTAAGGTAAAAAGTCGTAAATCAACAGAGGAATATGGAATTAATTATCTCGAGCTAAGCGTGCCATCGTCAAGAGTATCTGTTAAAACACTAACTTAAATGAAAAAATTGTATATGAAGTAATTAAATACATTTGCTTTTGAAATGAATAATAAGGGTTGTCGACCGATAAAAACTGTGACAAACACAAACTATGCTGTAGTGTTCGTTATCTGTTCATTTGTAAACAACGTTTGAACTAATTTTATTTTGACATCAAGTAATATATAAACTAGAGGCGATATTGTGCTAAGAAAGAAACGTTCGGTGTACTTGTACCATTTATATACGAGTATTTACAGATTTTTCTAGGAAAATACGTACCTGATAAATGTGTGACTAGTGACTTCCGAGATATTAAGCATCACATTATTTAGTAAAATGAAATGTCGAAATGTATAAAATCACTATAAAAGCGTTAAAGCTCTTTTAAGTTTTAGAGCACAACAGTCGAGATGCGATTGATAGATTTTTATTGCTTAGATGGGTGGACGAGCTCACAGCCCACCTGGTGTTTTTTTTTTTTTATTATTGCCCTTGTAGGCATACGAGCATACGGCCCACCTGATGGTGAGTGGTTACCGTCGCCCATGGACTTCAGCAATGCCAGGGGCAGAGCCAAGCCGCTGCCTACCGCAAAGTGGTTACTGGAGCCCATAGACATCTACAACCGTAAATGCGCCACCCACCTTGAGCTATAAGTTCTAAGATCTCAGTATAGTTACAACGGCTGCCCCACCCTTCAAACCGAAACGTATTGCTGCTTCACGGCAGAAATAGGCAGGGTGGTGGTACCTACCCGCGCGGACTCACATGAGCTCCTACCATCAGTACACCAACTATTTACTATTAACACTGCGCTGGCGCTATGACCCCGAAGTTGATCTCGGACAATAAACATCGACATCCATCCCAGCGCTGCGCAACACCTTGCCAGTCCGGCACTTGGAGCTCACGTAAATTTCCTACCATAGCGTCAGGCCAGTAGTACTTGGGCACCCCTACGGGGCGGCGTCCTCCCAGTACACCCGTTTTACAGCCCAGATCCAGCTCTATCCGCATTACTACATGCCCGAGGTCGGATAGCATTCGCGCCTTCATCTCCCTTAGAATATTTGGCTCACAAAAAGCCAACTATTTAGATAGGTACAGGAAAATCCCAGAACGTTTTTGCATATATTTTTTTAACGCTTATGCTAGTTACGCTGTTCGCTCCTCCTATCCGTAGCAGTACTACGCGAGTCTTAAAAGTGGATTTCATTGTTACGTCTGTGACGACACGTGACGTGTTTACTAAAATGCTCTGACCTGAGAGCGAAAGAGTGTCACCCCAATCGCATTTATGACAATCGGCTGTTACATATCAACTCAATTTGTTTGTGGCCTATGTGATGATAATGCTAAAGTATGTTTCTTTATGTAATGTAAAATAAAAAAATACACAACATGTTTATGTATGTAATATAATGACAAAAAAATACGTGAGATTAATCCGTAAAAGTTTTTTAATTATGTCTACGACTCGGTTTAACAACCGAAGAAAACACAATAGGTCTAGTTTGTTTATTATATCCGAATGCTCTTTATATGTAGATCTAATTAGATAGGCAGACACAAGAAGAGATTACTGCGGCGTGATGGAAGTAGTTTTTTTTGTTTATTGCCCTTGTAGGCAGACGAGCATACAGCCCACCTGATGGTGAGCGGTTACCGTCGCTCATGGATGTCAGCAATGCCAGGCGCAAAGCCAAGCCGCTGCCTACCGCTTAATACTCTCCACAAGCCTACTTTAAAGAAGGACATCACATAGCGCTCAAAAAATACCGTAGAGGGGAGCTCATTCCAAAGCCGAATGGTACGTGGCAAAAAAGATATCTGGTAGCGCACTGTGGATGAACGCAGTGGTTCTAGGTAGTATGGATTTACTCTACTCCCGGTGGCAGGCTACGATGGTAAAACCGATATAATGAATCATCTTAAACATATGGTATCTTTCCGTGTGGGGTTCACAATATCATCAGTAATTACACATATATGTAGATTTTGAGGGTTTTATTTTTTATCTTACTCACACGCTCCATCTCTTTATTACTGCACATTAGGCGCATTCGGCTCTTCTAATTCGTTTCGGCCAGCAATTTCTATCCTGAGTTCTGACACTGTCAAGTTGAATCGCTTTAAGTATTTGAGTCATGTTCGTTCAACATGTGCCCGGGGCCGCCTTATCCCGCGCCTTTTGTCCTGTGCCCGATGAATGACGTAGTCATTGATCCCATAGACACAGCCCACTGAGTTTCTCGCTAGACCTTGTCAGTAAGTCGCGATTCCGATCCGGTGGTATATTCTGCGAAGCACTGCTCTTGCTAGGGCTAGTGATTGCAAATTCTTTCGGGTTGAACCTGTGAGCTCTCCTATCCATCCGGACGTAGCTGGAATCATAGATATAATACTCATAAATTAATTAGCTGGAATAGCGCCTTAGGCTACCAGCTAATAGGTAGACTAAAAAAAACAAAGTTATTATTCCTTCATATTGAAAGACGTGTGTGAAATAATAGATAGTTACGTGTTAGGTTACGTTAGGAAATTACATTAAATTGAAAAAGTTTCATTTGCAAGAAACGGTAATTTATTTTTAAAAATTAGATTCATTACTATAATTATATACTATCTTATATTAACTTATATACATATATTAACTTATTATGACCTTATTTAGACGATTTCGCTTTGATATGATTTAACGAATTTTTAAATTTAATAAAATATATATGTATTTGTTTGCATATTNAAGAAATTACATTAAATTGAAAAAGTTTCATTTGCAAGAAACGGTAATTTATTTTTAAAAATTAGATTCATTACTATAATTATATACTATCTTATATTAACTTATATACATATATTAACTTATTATGACCTTATTTAGACGATTTCGCTTTGATATGATTTAACGAATTTTTAAATTTAATAAAATATATATGTATTTGTTTGCATATTCGCCTATAATTAAAACATTTTTGGATCTCATTCATATGACAGCGAAAAAAGCTCGTATTTTGACTACGAGTTGTGTTTGTGTATTAGAATTACTTAATAAGATATCTGTTTTATAGATTTTTTTGGAGTCTTTCCGTTACACAAATTACACATAATTAACACATAATTTGTGTGATGGATAGGTTGTAATATTTTATGAATCCGTAATATTAATCCATATTGTTCTCTCAATGGTACATATAGATTAAATTTTAATCCAAATGGTTGTATAATTTACGAGGGTGTTTATTTTCATTTTTTTTGTTCTCAGGACAAGCACTACCTCTGCATAATGGCGTCTGATTCACCAGACCAGAACCTGACACAGTACTTCAGTTTATGTAACGACTTCATACACGCCGCGAGACTCAGAGAAGGCAACGTCCTTATACATTGGTAATGTAATTTTTAATCGACATCATTAAAAAATTAATAAGTTCGGCTTCAACCAAGCACTTAACAATTATGTACAGTAAAAGCTCCTTATTCGCGCTTCCTTCATTCGCGTTTTCAAATTTAAAAAATGCGGCCAAATTCCTATATTCGCGATTAGAGCTTTCTTTATTCGCGGATGTGATTGGTACATAGGTAGATATATGTCCATTGTTAAAAAGGATTCCAATATGCAGGTAGAATAATACTAAATATCTAAGTCGACTAGTTAATGCGCACTACGTCACATGTTAAACGTTTTTTCTTCACAGAATTATCGATAATAATAGCTTCAGCGTCGGCGGTAATTCGTAATCGCTGTTATCGATTAATTATTAATTGCAACATCGCCGACAGCCCTATTAGTTGAGTTGAGAGAAATCGACACTCGTGCTAAATGGATCGTATATTATGAAATAATCCGTACTAAAAGTAAACTTTAGTGAAGTTTTTTGAATGCTTAGTAATGCGTTGTAAATAATTCATCCAAGATAATCACATTTTCATATTTGATACACACAAGACAATCACATGCTGATATTTAAAAAAACACATCCACACGAACATAATGTCTCTTATTAGATTCTGTATTCAATCGATCATCCAAATAACGTCGAGTGCAATTAATTCTCGCTGTTATTTTCTAGCCATGAGAGCACTACTTAAATTAAAGTTTAACAATCTAATCTAAAGGTTTATAAACTTCAGAACGATACAATATAAATATAAAATTAAAGGCCCACACAAAATAATTCATCTTATTTTTTTATGTGTGGCAATTAGATTCTTACGACGACATTATTGCCAGTATCGAGCTTATAATAATCTTTAATTATTATAGATACAAATATATTCTGTTACATGAAAAAATATTTGATGAGAAATAAGACGAAGTTGATTATTTAAAGACTTTAATGAATTCGGATGAAGTTAAATGGAACGAGATGAGATGAGATGAAATAAAGCCTCAGTAAAATGGCGGTTGTTTACCTTTTTAGTGTTTTTTTTGGAAGAATCCGAGAAGCTACGTCTAGTGGCTTTCCTTCATTTTCCCATATTTGTGCACTTTCACAGATTGTTGTTAATAAACAACAATTTGTGAAAACAAAACAAATAAATAATAATAATAACTGATAATAAATTACTGTTATTACATCTGGAGAAATACTAAATTAACAAAATAAAACAATTCACAGAACTTCGCTCCTCGAGTTACCATCAAAAAGTCCAAAGCAATTCTGTTGTTCAGTTTTATATAACCTTTTTTTCAAATTGTTGCGCGCTTTTATTCTCTAGGAATTCCACTTTAAATTTAAATAGGGCGATAAACGGTGACTGGAGGATAAGGATCGAGTATCTCAATTATACAAAAAATAAATTTGAAATGACGACAAGGTCAAATAAACTTTTTTACTCTGGCCGTCAGGATGAATGACCCAGTGCCCTATTTAATCCCTATATTAGCTATCGTGCATCGGACGGCACGTGAAGCTATCTTTCCCGTGTTGTTGTTTCATATCAGATTTAATTAGTGTGTTGCTTGAAGCAGTTGTTAGCGATATAGTCATTAGAAATAAAGGCAATGTACATGCAAACAATAACGTTTATATAATAGCTCAGTATTTGGTGATAAATAAAAAATATATATAACCTATAAAGACAACATTATTTTCTTATAATTTATAATTTTAGTAACTTTATTATGATGATGAGATGATTGCTACTTTTAATTCGCTTTTCATAATGACCTTCCACATGTCCAATATCTTCGCATCAAGCAAATGTCTTCTGTCAACAATGTCAGATGAGTCAACAGAAAATATTTAGGCTATAATATTATTTTTAATTATTAAAATGTATAATTTAAAAGGTCAGAGAGCAGTATATTACTTTTTTTTTAAATCCCAACAGGCGCGGCTCGGTTATGACCATTACTGTTTATCCAGCAAAAAAATACCAGTCATAAGAACTTGATATACACATAAATTATTTCGACCTACGTACATTATTCCTAATGTGACTCCTAGTATTATTCAGGCTAAAGCGTAAGCGTGGCACGCACCCTCTAAAAAATTACTAACCCACGACTGTGTTCATCCCTAAACAAAGACCACTGCAAACATTTTTAATTTACCCAGTTTAGTCATTTATTAATAGCCTGGATGGTAATCCATCGCCCTCGCGGCCCGCATCGACTTGAAACCCCTTCAAGTCATTTAATCCCGTTTTCGTAGGATAGTCGTCGGAAGATCATGGTTCTTAAGGAATGTGAATCTCCATAATGACCTGGAGCATGACTCAGTCAGTAATTATTTACATTCGGCATCATTGCGCCACTTTGAGAAGGCGTTACGACATGAAAACGGGTAATTACATACCCGATCCTGTGGACCGAATGGCAAACAGTCGACGTCGCCCTAAACACGTCATTACGGATCCTCCCGATCCATTAACTGTGCTTTTAGGTACCTCAAGCACCGGTCACCGTCCTCGCCGAGCCTGTCGCTCGCGACGAAGGGCTCGACGAGTAAATCAATCCGTAGACACAGCCCACCGAATTTGTCGCCAAATTTTCTCAGTTGGTCGCGTTTCCGATCCGGTGGTAGATTCTGCGAAGCACTGATCTTGCTAGTGCAGTGTTAGCAACACTCCCGGTTTGAGCCCCGTGAGCTCATCTACTCACCCGGTTACGCTGACATAGCATCTCAAGGCTATCAGCTTAAGTAGGAAAATAAGATCCAAACCTGAACTTTTGAAGTATACATCAGATGATGGACTTAGAAAACCATTTCTTAATGGTTGCAGCTTTTTTATTATCAAAATCTGCCCCAATTTTTATATGAAATGAACTTCAACAAAATAAAATAGATAAAATCAGTTAAATTTACATTACGCTTAACTCAATAATTACTAGTCGGATCTAGATAAAATATTAAAGGGTCACATGAGAAACACTCGCTTTCAAATAAAGAGAGAATCATCAAAATCGGCTCAAGTGGAAAAAAAATTATACAAAACAAACACAAAAAATACTATCGAACTTAGAGCCTCGTCCTTTTTGGAGTCGTTTAAAAAGAAAATCCTCTTGTCGGGTCAACGTCCTCTTGATGTCTGTCTCGAAGCAAATGTGCGTTTCGGTTTTAAGGGTAGGTTAATACGGCGCAAACCGTGAGCAGTAAATAATCAAAGCAGCCAAACCATTAAACGTGTATAGTAGAAACCGTTAAGATTTCCGAATAATTAGGAACTCTGTTTGATGTGCAATTGTTTCTCGCAGACAAAACAGATGGTACTTTGAGGTTGTTTAATCGTTCCGCTAATTCGATTTGCCTCGATTTAATCGAGTCACCGAATCGAGTTAAATTAAATGCGAAGGATGTAGTAAGAAATACAATAGAACTGATGTAGTTTCGAATGAGTTCGAATGAATATCTTANGATTTCCGAATAATTAGGAACTCTGTTTGATGTGCAATTGTTTCTCGCAGACAAAACAGATGGTACTTTGAGGTTGTTTAATCGTTCCGCTAATTCGATTTGCCTCGATTTAATCGAGTCACCGAATCGAGTTAAATTAAATGCGAAGGATGTAGTAAGAAATACAATAGAACTGATGTAGTTTCGAATGAGTTCGAATGAATATCTTATTTATACATAGTGTTAATTATAGACTTAGTGTAATTTCAAAGTTGTAATTCAGTGTAAAACACTTGTGCTTCAAATATAATAATATGTTAATTACATTGCTGGCTGGGCTATAGAAAAAATTGTCAGCTTAAGAGGCACATATCAATATTTTCAAAGCTTTCAAATTTATTATATTGAACTAGTTAAAGATGCATGTCGCTCTAACTAACGCCAAATTTTTTAATAGGACTAAGAAGCATCATCCATCATACTTTAATTATTTAAAAACCTACCCCATGTTCCAATAACTATCTCAATTTTCAACTCAATAGGATAAACAAACAAGGATCCCAATTCGTTTTAAATGTAAAAAAGTGAATATAGCAATGATAAAAAAAAATTGTTTATTTTTAATTAATATCACTCTTTTGTAGTTAAAATTTATACGTGTAATTCGTAATTCTCAATATGTCTACGTAATTCTGATCGTGAACAATAAAACATGCAGCTACTACTTAATCCGGAAGGCATTGCCGCGTTTTGGCGGTCAGAATAAAACAAGGGATTTGGTATTTATAATATACTTTTTATATGGATATTATATAGATAGCTAGATGGTTGGACGAGCTCGCACCTTGTGTTAAGTGGTTACTGGAGCCCATAGACATCTACAACGTAAATACGCCACCTACCTTGAGATATATAAGTTCTAAGGTCTCAGAATAGTTAGAACGGCTGTCCCACCCTTCGAACCGAAACGCATTACTGCTTCACGGCAGAAATAGGTTTTAATCAAAGACAATTTTATCGACAGTTGGAGAACTAGCGGAGGATAATCATATTCACATCAAGTGGTCCCAGAACTCACTATTATTTTAAATGCACTTATATTCATATAAAATGTCAGACTTTGTTTGGAACTAAGGTACCTACTGATTTTATATAAACACCTCATAATTTATTTCTCATCCCAGTTTGGCGGGAATGTCTCGGAGCGTGACAGTTGCCGTTGCGTACATAATGTCGGTGACACCCCTAACATGGCGAGAGGCATTGAAAGTTGTCAGAGCGGGTCGAGCTGTTGCCAACCCTAATCTCGGCTTCCAGAGGCAACTCCAAGACTTCGAAACTTACAAACTAGTTGAGGTAACTATTGTTTAATTCTTAATTTATTTGTTTTTCGTTATACTTTACATTTCATGTTACAATTTATAGGCTCTTACGGATCTTTAATCTGTTTCATCAGTTTAACTTCAAACTCACTCCACAATTCACTGCATCTCTGAACAATCGCGACAGCAATTATAGGCTGCTGCTTTGTTCAATCCCGAGGCATAATTGTTTAGAATGATACGTAATAGCTGAGGAAATGCCCAGATCTTAAACTGGCCTGTGGGCTGCCCAAGAACTCCCTGGCATCCGAATTAAGCTCCTGGGCGTCCATCGAAAGCAAATCGTATTTTAATAACTCACCAATTAAATCAGGATTCAAATTAAAATTCAATAAATTTAATACAGATTTTGAAATCGTATTAAATCAACAGGAATCTTATGTAGATGACCTTAAGAACTGTTTACGTAATTAATTAGTCTGGTATGTATTACTCAACTTATTAAAAATATTCCCTCATTTATGTTATAGTCGGGTTTAACATCTAATTAAGTAACTTATATCGAAAAAATATTACTCACCGTTAAAAAGTTCTAGTCATTGTTTACGGTCTGTTTTCTGGGCAACTAGCATTACTTTGAGACCTACGATATTTTAACTTGGATTTCTATTTATTGTAACTAGTGATCGCCCAGTGGTCGAAGTTCAACCATAATTAATTTAAATCATAAGTTTGAACATTATTAGGGTTCTATTTTCAGTATCTGGACCACTAGTCAAGATAAAGGCATGCAAAATAAATAATTGTACTTCTGACTCTCATCATATCTTACTTAGAATCAGTCCTGTCAAAATTCGTAATATTGAAACTTGTATTGCAATAGCAAATGCAAAAAAAAAATGTTAAGTTTTAGGCACGCATGCACTTATGCTCCAAAACATCCAAGAGTTCCATGTTGGTTATTAAAACACAATTTGGAGTCGACCTCGCATTCACAGCAATTTAGCCTGTGCTCTAAGGCGTGCGCTGATCTGCCGAGTGCTCACCCCCTGCAATGCAGTATTAGAATAATATTTTTTCTTAGAAATGTTCAATGAAAGTTTTTCTTTGCTGTGTCGTGTTACAACCTCAATTCTTCGCAAACTTCCTCAAGTTTCGACCTAAAACAAGGACGGCGAAAGTGTCTGAATATTATGAGGCTATCGCAGTTCCAGTGTATTTTTTTCTTTGCAATACTTTACCGGATGCTTTATCTAGTGCTATATTTTCATAAAAATATATAATAGTTTAAAAAAAACGAACAAAATACGCTTTGGGTGCTTTTCAGGTTATTATCAAAATAACCCTTCTACTCATATCTGTTCATAAAATATTTATAACTACTGATACTATGCACTACATGTTTTTTTTACAATAAAATCATTTGTCCTTACACTATTTTTAATTGAAATTTATTAAACTTTATTTTCTATTTTTTATTTGGATTTCCAATAAAAGCGTATTTTGTTAGTTTGAATTTAATTTTTTCAATATTTTTTTTAAATATTGAACTGTCAGCTGTTCTTATTAAGTATACCAAATTTCGAGTTAATCCGATGTTTTGAAGGGGGTCAAAATCATGTTCAAAGATTCCGTTACATACTAACATACATACGTCTGAAGCTAATAAAAGCGTATTAATAATCATTCGTCAAGGTAAATAAATTTCGGTAAGGTAGGATTACTTTCTGCATCTATTTATTACATTTTCGGTCACCGTAATTGCTGAAAACTTAATAGTTTCGTTCATTAAACTTCTAATGCAAATTAATTAACTTGTTTAAACAAACAACAATTAACCTAGTTATGTGACTGTTATTAAATAATGAATCAATCAAATGCAAAACAAGTCATATGTTATCTCAACACAAGTGTGATTTGGTTTATATTTGTAACAAATACCATTTAGTGATAAATTTTACATTGATAAAAGCAATAACCAAGAGAGCTTGTGGTCCGTGAGTATTTGATATGAATAATATTACGATAACTATTGTAGAACTCAGAAAAACGATTGAACTATTTTATCTTTTGTTGTGCTAATAGCTGGAATTATAGTTTCTGCAGAGATTTTTTCTTCTTCTAAATTTGGTGTTTAGAAAATTCGTTTTTCAAAAATGTTATATTGAATTTCTTGTTATTATTGGTCCCGTAATATTATCATTTAGATTCTAAAATGTAACTATTCCTTGCAATTTCAGATAAATTAATTTCGTTAATGCTTTAAATTATTTAAAACTTCTCAATTTTATAATCCTATATAGTGTGTAAATATTGTTACATTAAATATTAATCAAATCCGTAATAAACTATACTGAAAATGTAGGGTAGATACAATTATAATTCTTCGGGTCTTTGTAGTAGACTTCTCGCCCTACATTTTTAAACGCGTTTTTTTCCACCACACCCTCTTGTAATTGGAGTCAATGAACGTTATTTAGAACGTTGAAATTTACTTCGCCTTATCGGTTTAAAATTTTGCCTAAAAACACTTACCAAGCCGACTTAACCTAATAGGTGTATGGCTCTAATAAAGAACAAAAAAAAACTCTTACTATCAGTTTCCGCAATCTGCTATGATGTCAATTTAAAAGCTAGTACAGGCCTCACAGTCATTTTCATTTTTAAATTCAGTCCGCTTTAGTAGACCGTCAATCAAAATACAGTTCGGAATTTTCCTAAATGCAAAATACCTATCTTAGCGTGATTCAAGTTTTTGCTGGATTTAATCTATTCGATTGTATCCACTATTATTATACGCAGATACAAACGTACAGGCATACACATGACCTACCCACCGAGTAACAGATTACATTAGCACCTAGATTCTAAAGTGCGTCCCGATTGCATGAGGTTAAAGGTTATCTATCCTCCTTCGAAAAGGAACAACTGATTGAAAATCGAAGACAAAGATACTAACTCGTGCGTATACGAGTTAGTATCATTATTCATCCTAAACATAAAAGAGAATTAATAGAACGTAAAAAATCTTTTATAGGTAATTAATTGCACATTAATTGCAACAGCAAATTAAGAGAATTGCAAATTTGTTCCTGTGAAATTATGTATTACGAAATATACAAATTATGTTGATATAATGTGTGTTTCATAATTTCACTACAATAGATGTCTTGGTATAGAGCTTTGTCTTTATTATTAGTAAAATTGTACTTGCGCCATAATAGAAATTCGACCATAAACAATGACACCTTGAGATTTAAATTCAGTCTTTAAGTTAAATTTTCTCAAGTTACTAAAACTTAAGTATTTCAATAGTTTCTAAACAAATCGACTATCGTTGGTTATCAAATACCAGGAGAGAAGAAGGTACTGAACTACTTTAGCCTTTGTCTTTTTATTAGCTTAGATGGAGGAGCTCATGGCTAACCTAGTGTTAAATGTATATCGGAGCTTAAAGACATCTATGATATACAACGTAAATTGGCGGCATTTACGCCATCTTGAGCCATAACTTGTAAGGTCTCCGTTTTAACAGTACAACGGCTGCCCCATCCATCAAACCGAAAGGAATTTCTGCTTCACGGCAAAAATAGGTAGGGTGGTCGCAACTACACGTGCTGACACACATGACACCCTACCACCAGTAAAATTGATGCCTATTTTTATAAGATTAAGCAACATCTCTTAATGGAAATCGTTATGGAGTGGAATGGTACATTCTGTGTAACCGATTGTAATTCGTTTGAAATCAGGAGAGGAGACGTTTAAAAGAACGGTACCCGTCACTGGCTCTAGCCGAGAAGGATTTATCGGAGTGCCGCATCATGCTCGATTCCTACCAGACGATGCTGAGCGAGAGAACCATTTGCGAAGGAAAGTGCGCCATGGGCCGACAGTGTCCAACTGGTAAGGTACACGGTATACTCTTATTCTCTGTTATTAGCACCGGTAGTTACCTAATCACTACAAAAAAAAAAACAAAATACTTTATTTTCAAAAGCCAGTTAAAATAATAAAATGATTGGAGTCTCCTTTTAAGCGTGCAAGCCTGTACTAGGAGACTCCGCTCTTCCATAAAAGCACATTATATACTACAATATTACTAATTATATATAACAAATTTGTGTGTGTGTGTGTACTATACAATTATTAACTAAATTATCACTTTTTATTATAATTCTTGGCTAGAGAACATTTCTTGATATTATCAAATCAAAGAAATAAGTAGGCCTATGTTGTGGCATTTCGAGAGAAAGTATTCCATTCAATTTAAATTCTAAGCAGTATTGCAAAATTCAGGCACAAAGTATGAATTTGGAATATTTACCGCGCGAACGAACACAAATTTCGACGATGGCAAAAGCCTCTAAACCTTTGAACACTTCAAGCTTCCTTCCTTTATGACGCAAACCTGAGACTGAGGCACGATCGCTTTTGTTTCTACGAAAATAAGCTTAAATTGCTGGAATTTTGCGTCTTGAAAACTTTCAAAAAAGTGATATCAATTTTACAATCGCTACAAATCAATATATACGCAATTAAAGTATTTTCTAGTAACTTTTTTTTTTTTATTGCTTAGATTGGTGGACGAGCTCACAGCCCACCTGATGTTAAGTGGTTACTGGAGCCCATAGACATCCACAACGTAAATGCGCCACCCACCTTGAGATATAAGTTCTAAGGTCTCAAGTATAGTTACAACGGCTGCCCCGTCCTTCAAACCGAAACGCATTACTGCTTCACGGCAGGGTGGTGGTACCCACCCGCGCGGACTCACAAGAAGTCCTACCACCAGTAACTTACGTACCTTTAGCGTAACGTAAATATAAATAAGGCTACTTCTATAATATACTAATGTAATGACAATAAAAAATCCGAAATTTTGCCGTAAAAGTATTAATTATACGCAAATAAGATAAAATCATGCTCATTTGTAGCGGCTGTCATTTCGCCATTCGAAACGAGGTTATTTTGAATCATAAAATTTTATGGTGATTGAGAGAGCCCTTCGCTTGCTCAATTCACAGCCTGTGAATGTCCAACTGATAATTTCGTTGAATACAACAATTTTATATGAAACTTGAATGGTACTAATGTTATTAGAAGTCCAAATAAACAATTGAAAATTCTTCATAAAAGTAGTTGCCGGAGCCTATGGATATCATAACGAGAATATCCGCCAAAAATCACGAAACTAATTAATAACAAAATATTGGCCCGGTAGTTGGTGTGGCCTAAAGGATAAGTCGCCCGGTACACTTATGTCGAGCGAAGCCACTTTGCTTGTATTCAAATCCCGCAGGGCTACATACATCCCTATCACCAGTAAATTCCAGTTGGAAATCGTAGTACCGTGATAATTATCCCACTCGTATCTCTGAGTATTAACTGCTGCCTATTCTCCAGTAAATCCCTTAATCGCCTTTCACAACACACAAGGGTACTACTAGTACCATACTATATATGCCGACATAACACAACTAGTTATGAAAATCAACCAATTTATAGTTAGGATTCGACCTCATTCATGAAGAATTAAAAAGATGGTTTCATTCACGTTGATATGTATCAACGTGAATTTGAGCCATTTGAGCCAGAATTATGAGCCATTTATGCTAGGCGTATCGGGAGCCAGACCGGCTAGCTATCGATAGCTAGCTGACCTGGCTCCCGCTGGCTGGCCGAGCTATCAATACGAGTGACTATTGTCGCGCAAAACACCGGTTATCGTTCTCGCTGAATCCTTCGCTTACGACAAAGGGCTCGGTGAGAAAAAAAACCACAGACACATCCTACCGAGTTTCTCGCAGGATCTTCTCAGTGGGTCGCGTTTCCGATCCAGTGGTAGATTCTGCGAAGCACTGCTCTTGCTAGGGTTAGTGTTACCAACATCGTCAGGCTTAAGCCCCGTGATCTCACCTACTAATTCGGTGAATCTAGAATAACCCCTCGAGGCTACTAGAATAAGTAGGTTAAAAAAAACGCACAAAACACTCTGACTCGAGCAGCCGAATGAGCTGGAGCTCTCTGTTGATATTGTTGTTCACTTGAAATGTAATAAATAGAATTCATTGGAAAATTGAGTCTTAATTATTGTGACTGTGGAAGGCAAAGATAATTATGAAGAGAATGGCGTCAGTGACGTCATAATTTTAATAAAACCTTGGAACCAGCCAGTTCCGCCATATCATATTATAATACCTATAATTTGACAATAAAGTGATCAGCTTCGAGTTGAAAAAAAATTATTAACTTCTCTAAAAGCACGGTAACAATTAAAAATAATAATTTACGTTAAATTAAAATTTCATTAATTATTTTGGGGAATTCGAGCGCGACTGCTAGAAACCGAACGAAAAGAAAACTTCAAAATTCCAAATATTGCTTTACGGCAATTGAGGCACCATAATAATTTTCTGACTGGGAAAGAAGGATATAGGTGACCCAGTTAGTTATACGAGAGTATAGCGTTGCTGTTTTTTTGAGAAGTCTTGATGGCGTTTTATATAAGCGCTTTTATTCGGTAATTGTCCCCACAGACACAGCCCACTGAGTTTCTCGCCGGATCTTCTCAGTGGGTCGCGTTTCCGATACAGTGGTAGGTTTTGCGAAGCACTGCTCTTGCTAGGGCCACCCGTGAGCTCACCTACTAGTTAAGGTTACGCTGTAATAGCCTCTCAGGGCTATCAGCTTAGGTAGGAGTAAAAATAAAAATGTGATTGTTTGATCGTTTATTTTTTCGCTAAAAGGCGTTTGCAGGACCGCGTCTAAGAGACAGCCTCGACCGCGAAAGGCCGCGGCGGCTTCTAGCTGCGACGCCGGANACTGCTCTTGCTAGGGCCACCCGTGAGCTCACCTACTAGTTAAGGTTACGCTGTAATAGCCTCTCAGGGCTATCAGCTTAGGTAGGAGTAAAAATAAAAATGTGATTGTTTGATCGTTTATTTTTTCGCTAAAAGGCGTTTGCAGGACCGCGTCTAAGAGACAGCCTCGACCGCGAAAGGCCGCGGCGGCTTCTAGCTGCGACGCCGGAGCAACGGCGATGAAACGATCACCGTCCACACTGTCCACTACTTCCACTGCTTCTGGCTACCGACCGAGATCATCCCCAGCCGGCTTGTACAGCTACACCGGCGGTGAGTGACGATTACTAGTTTTACGCCATAAATTTAATCACCATACAAATAGTACCAAACCACCCACCTTGAGATATAAGTTTTAAGGTCTCAACTATAGTTACAAGGGCTGCCCCGCCCTTCAGACCGAAACGCATTACTGCTTCACGGCAGAAATAGGCAGAGTGGTGGTACCTAGCCGCGCGGACTGACGAGAGGTCCTACCACCAGTAAAGATTCCCAGTTAAAGTGTATTTTTGTGAAAGTTATTTGCTTTGGTAAGGTCCCTCGAGACCGACCCGTTCAGCGTCTGGTCTGAGCGTGACCCGCGTGACGGACTCGAGCGGGCTCGGCTCGGCGATGGCGGTGGGCGGCACGGAGTACTCGCGGCGCCGCGCAGCCTCGGCGCCCGCCACGCCGGCGCTCTCCCCCGCCTCCTCGCCGCCCGGCTCGCCGCACCGTGCTCCACATAGGTAACTATTCCTCTAAACCAGGAGCTCCCAAACTTATTTTGTCTACTGCCCACTTTGAGAATAAATTATTTTTTAGCGCCCCCATTTTTTCTCTTTCTTAAAAACCACTATAGCGAGAGCTCAGTCGGTGTCTAATAGTCCTCTTAGATGAAATTACAAATCTCCTCCCAAGCCTCTACACAACGCCCCCATTTTTTTTCTGGGTCTCTTACCGCCCCCCTTTAGGCTTGCAGCGCCAACAAGGGAGCGTTATCGCCCACTTTGGGAGAGGCTGAGATAGCAATACGAAAGTTTCCTACTCGCGGGCCTCGTGGCATGTTGTTAAGTTATACCGACTGCCGTTTCGAAGTCGCGGGTTCGATCCCCGCACAGAACAACTATTTGTGTGATGAACACAAATATTTACAACAAAAATTAATATATATGTAGTATATTCGTAATCTAGCACCTATAACACAAGCATTAAGCTTACCTACATTGCATGTGCTTTTTTTTAAATCATCGATTTCATTACCTTATAACATGTAAGTACTTACTGTAGTTTCAAAACTATTAGTGAAATTTTGTTTTAAAAAATTTCTTTTTAAAAGTGTGACATCTACGAGAAGTATTTAATAGATGATATCAATTTACCTATATGTGATATCAAACATTATGCCACGATTTCAATTAAAGTTGTGATGTTAAAATCGTCTGATTTAATGCTTTTTTTTTTGTTTTGCTTGTTTCGTTATACGGTAAATTTTAGGCCAGCGATGTCAAACTTAAAGCTCTTAAATCGCTAAAACCTTCTTCTTCTTCTTCTGTGTCTTCTTACCCTTATCCAAGGTGTATTAGGTGGCGTCGGCGCAGCAGGTTCTCTTATCATGCCGTATAGGGATTTGGTGTGAGTCTTACGACCGGCCGTTTGCTTCAAATCAGTTTTAGCCTACACCACTTTATAGTGGTAGTTACCTAACCCATGCATCAGCCCGCTGAGTTTCTCGCCGGGTCTTCCCAACGGGTTGGAATCGCGAATCCGACCCGGTGGTAGATTCTGCGTAGCACTGGTCTAGGGCTAGTGTTAGCAAATTCACTCAGGTTCAACCCGTAAGCTCACCTACCCGCCCGGGCGTAGCTGGAATAGTCCCTTAAGCTATCAGCGTGGTAGGGAAAAAATCACCAATCAAATAGGCAAGTTTAATAAATAGCAAAACAGAAGATATAGGGTTTTCGATTAGACCCACGTCATTTCAAGTCGCTGTCAAGAGTCAAAAGTCAATTTTGCAACATAAAATTGAGTATGCTTTATACTGGTGGTAAGGCATCATGTGAATCAGCACTAGTAGATACATACCACCACTTTGCCTATTTCCGCCTTAAAGCAGTAATTCGCTTTGATTGTAATGGTGAGGTAGCCGTTGCACTATAAAACTGAGACTTAAGACAAAGGTGGGTAGCTGCGGTTACGTTATTGATGTCTATGGGCCACGGTAATCACTTAACACCAGGAAGGCAGTGAGCTTGTCCACTCATCTGAACTATAAAAAAAACATCGCGTCTGCGTTAGATCATTGCTCGTCTAAGTCTGTATGAGGATTCAGTTGTGTCACTTATCACGTTAATACTGTTAGAAAACTGTTTATAAAAGAATAATTACAGGTAGATTTCTTTTTTATAATATTCCCTGTGTCCTCCCTAGTGGGATAAGGTGGAGACAAAAGAGAAGAAGAAGTTTGTAATAATATAAACTAATCGCGATGTTTTTAAAATCACAATTCTAAAACAGCCCGTGGAACCAATCTGGAATATTCTTTGTTTAATTCACTAGGCCTGGCTGCTCTTGGATCATTCCCACAGTGAAGTGGGACCCCAACACAATGTAGTAACGAGTGAAGCAGCCTTAATCACCTCGCACCGTCAGAAGGTCGCACCATTGTTCCTTTTGTTCACTCGACCCCGGTCGTTTAACTTTCATTGTAAAATCGCTTTTTTTGTTTTTATTTTGTTGTTTTTAATCATGAAATGCAAACCACGCAAAACTGTTGCTTTTTTATTATTATTATAGAAGAAACAAATCGCTTCTCTATGAAAGATTTTATTTATTGGCTCTGGCACGGTTTGTGTATTAACCAGCGTCAAGTAATAAGATTTTTATAATTCTCAACTCTAATTATTTACAGTTTATAAATAATAAAAAACGAAGGAAACTAATCGTGACATAACATAAATGATTAAAAACGAATTTTAGTTATAAAAGAACCCATCGAAGTGTGGATGAACTGTGGTATTTTTACATATTTATTTGTAGATTTAACGAAAATCTTTACATATCACTTTATATTGCTATGTATGTAGTAACTATGTATACAGTCTAAGGTTTAGGTGTTCGAAGAATCCGAAAAACTTCGTTTTCATCTCAACGGAATATTATTGCCGAAACACATTACCGAAGGATATACCGGATTTTATTATCGTCTAGGAAAATCGCGTTCTCACACGTAAAAAAAGCTAAACCTTATTATATCTGAATGTATACCTTACTCATTGTGTAACATTCATATTTTTACGTAGGTACTGATAACGTTGTTATTCGTATTGAGATTTGTTTTTTTACTTTAACAAGTGCCAAATGCAAGACAACCAACGCCAATCTTTGTTGAAGTGACTCACGTATAAAATATCTCTAATGAAAAAAATTGTGAGCTGTTTGTTGCAAGTTGTTCGTTATATATTGAACTGTATTGGAACTTATTTACTATGCTTAAAATAAAAACTATATTTTTTGCTACCTCAACATTAGTCTTCACTATAATAAGCAAAGAAAGAAGATCTATTAGAGCTATAAACATTACAATGTGAATATAACCACCTTGAGACACGAATTCGAAGTCCTTTTTAAGGTTTTTGTTTTTGCCCGTACATATTCGCTGATATCCCGTAGCCCGTAGCTCTTCCAGCTATGCACGGTTTAGTAGGTGATGTTCTCGAACGCATGGCCGCTTTGGAGCAGCAATAAAAGCCCACCCGTGCGGACTCGTTGTGCGCTCTGACACTTGTAACTCGCATATAAATCTTTGACATCAATTGATTATTTGATCCACAAGAGAACTAAGGTATTGTAATCAAAGAACTGGTTTAATTATATATTGTAATACGAAATAATACGACACATTTTGCGACATATCACGAGGTGTCAAAAAATATTCGTAGAACATTATAATAATATATGATCTGAAAGATTTTTACTGTTGTATTCGCGATAATTTACCGAATAATATAAGAACGAAGAATAAAAGTAAAAAAAAATATATATACGCTTTCTACTTTTCCATTCAACGTATTTTAATGACAATAGCTTTTGTGCCAAACAAACAAACGAAACGGCCAAGAATAAAATCCTCTTTTTTTTTTACCATAAACAATATTTTACGCGGTCATATTTCATTACAATAGCTCCTCTTCCCGAGAGTTATTTTGATTGTAGTCTTGAAAGTAATAGGACAGGGATGTACATATTATTATGTGCGCCTAATTCGACAACAAAAATTCAAGAAATAGTTAATAATTATCTTTCATTGATTTCTGCGTAGCTTTTGCTATTTGCTTATTGTTTCAGTACAAATCATTAGGGTATTATTGAAATTTATTCAATCATTATAGGTACATTTGCATCATTCGCTAAAAATATGCTTTTAAAATCTATTAGAAAAAAAAGTGATTAAAACATTTGGCGTCCGTATTCCCATTAGATTTTAAAAAAAATATGGTAGGTTCTATACAGCAGTAGTTATCACACATCGCTTAAATTTTTATTTGGTACAGCTAAAACATGTTTAGATTTTAAACCAAATTTGAAATAAATTTGTATACGGCACCAACCCTAACATTATGTAGAGCATCATGATACTCACTGAACTACACCAGCGAGATAAGTCGGAAACATGACGTCAAGAATCACGATACTCGATGTAATATAAAATATATTTATGCGAATTTGATTTGTTGGTCTTTGTAGTTTTAACTAAGTAATGTGTTTATTGGAGAATTTATATCAGAATAAGAAACGAGTCGTTCTTTTTAAATGTTACTGGTGGTAGGACCTCTTGTGAGTCCGCGCGGGTACGTTCTACCGCCCTGCCTATTTCTGCCGTGAAGCAGTAATGCGTTTCGGTCTGAAGGGTAGGGCAGCCGTTGTAACTATACTGAAATCTTAGATCTTATACCTTAATGTGGGTGGCGCATTTACGTTGTAGATGTCTATGGGCTCCAGTAACCACTTAACACCAGGTGCGATGTGAGCTCGTCCATCCATCTAAGCAATAAAAAAAAATATGTTTATTATTTTAATTTTAGCTATTTATTTTGATGTTCGATCAAGAAAAGTATAATTAATGATTTGTGTAAACTTTAAAAAATATATTCGAAGTATCATTTACTTTAGAAAAATAATTTTCTTGCACACAATAGCCTAGCATAAGATGACCTCAATTTAAAGTTACCCGAGTGGGTACTACATTACTAAGATTATTTTTGTTGCCGTCCGGCTTCGCCCCAGAAAGGATCACTAAGAACAATATTTAGGTTAAGCTTCGTGTCTTGAGATGACGATGATTTTGCGAGCCAACGACAATCAAATGAAGTTACGATATCAATTTCAGGTCACGTGCTCTACAACGATGCTCTTAGCAGTCATTTTAATGTCGCTCTCCATCCGCCCAGCACCGCCCAGCACCGTCGAACACCATCCAACATCCTTATGCTCAACCTGCCAAGTCCAGATTTATACGCTGAATCAGTTATGTCGCTTACACGAAGCGAGTTTGCCGATTTTTAGTCAATTCTTAATCGAAACCGACCAAATTGCGTTCGTGTGTTAACGGCTAAATTTATGCAAAAATCTAGCTAACGTTAGTATGGAGATTGTGTGGTTTGCCTTTTTGTATAATCCTGTAAAGTTTGGAAGGTCGTTTCGCCAACGATTTATTAGTAATGTTCTTGTTTTGGCGATGGGAATGGATGATAGGTATATGTATGTGTAAATATCAAAAGCACAGTGACTTGAAATGTTCGATTCAATACCTTAAAAGGACAGTTGAGTGATTACAAATTTTATATTTATCAAGGAAATTGGTAATTGTGTGGTGAAGTGTCCGAAAAACAATTTATGTTACGTTTTTGTGGAATGTGATCGGAAAAAAATTGAATTAGCAAGACCTTTGATGAAACATGTTGATTGTTATTAAAATGAAGAACGTATTTATGAGTTAAAAATATTGAAACCTTTGGCCTTTTGGGATGTCATCGGTTTGTTTATGAGAAAGTGTATGATATATTTACGTATTTTTTTTAAAGAAGCACCTATTGGTGAATTTTATTAGATCCGATCATAAATATATATTAACATATTCTAATAGATCTCGCCCCTATTGAATGTTGTATTTCCAAGGAAAAAAGTAATCTAAGATATTAGATTGTTTAAAAGAAAAGTTGCCTTTTTGAAAATAAGCAAAGGAAGCTTAGCGTAGATGTGCAGATAAACGTGAAAGTTCAAGTTACTTAGAAGATAAGGCACAATTTGAAGTTAAGTAAGTATAAAGAAAGAGGCTTAAAGCCATAATGGAAATGAGTAGTTTTATGGTCTGCTTTTGAAAGCAATAAAAAAATGGTAGAAATTTGTTCTTGAAAATTAAATTTGGTAAGAAACGAATGTAGAGTTTACAACCCTGTTTTCAAATAAAACGCCATTGATATAAATGGTACTACTACATATTTAAAAAAAATTTTTTGATTCATATGGACCTTGATAAGCGGGATGTAAAATTTAAAAGAAGAAATAATAAAATTTCAATTTAAAAAAAAAAACTGCAGTTGCATTGCAGTTACTTTCAACAACGCAATCATTTCATGATTTATTTGAATCGTACCTATCAATGTTCTGGGCGAAGTGCTTTTCTCGTTTTTATTCTTGTAAAATAACTAAACATACATAAATACATTGAACTCGAATTTTGTACTGAATCATAATGGCACATTAATGCGAAATCTTATTAACGGTTTTAAATTAATTGTCTACTAAACAAGGGAACATCGTAAAACAGGATCTTCGACGAATTAAATTTTTATGTTCGCGTTAAAGTCGAAAATAAATGTTATGGGAGTGTTAAATTATATTGCTCAAAATGAATTCAATTCCGTTCTCTATACTATTGCACAATTGAATGAAAAATTTGATTTTTAATATGAAGAAAAGCAATTTTTTGTAGGTATGACTTAGATTTAATAAACCGGCCTTCCGTGGAAACAAAAAAAGAACAACTAAAAACCAATCACAAGAGCATCTTCGCTATTTGTAATAAAAATAATGGAAATTCAATCATGAATCTTTAGTTGTGGTGTTAATAAATCCTGTAATAAACAAAAGTAGCGTACATAGTTATTAAATTTTATGGTGGCTTACGGAAGAGCTAAGCCGAAAAGGCACTTAACTACTATCCTAAGCTATGAACGGAAAATTATATTAATTCACTAAGAATAAACATTTGTTGTTTTAGTAGGATCGTACGTAAATGTAATAAATAAATTCAAAGAATCGACCGGTACAATAAGTACTAATCTGAACTGCACAAAATGAATCTATCTCCAAGCCAAATTTTATTCATTTAGATTAGTTCGCGAAATTGAAAACTATTTATTAATTAAAGAGATTAATCAATTCTTAGTGGATCATTGACATAATTAAAACTGATTTTACGGTTTGATCTCGTGTTTTTATTATCATTATAAATATATTTCCGATGTTTCCAATACTTTCAGTTTTCGTGGCCCCGGACAACGTTACGGACGATGTTATTATTCGATATTTGAAAATTGTTTTAAATATCGGAAATAATATGAAGATACTAAAAAACGCTACTATCAAAGTAATTTTAATTAGTTTTTTTTATTTAATTACATTTATTGCCAGTAAATTCGTGTCTTTTGCGCTCATGGAATACTGTATATACGCTAAGCAACGTTAGACCAAGATACTCCATTGATCATATAAAAACTCTTTGAAGAAGGACTCTTGTGTAATAGCGCCGCAATTTCAAGGAATATGCCAGCACGAGTTTCTTCTACGAGTATTGGGATACTTTGGGTGGAGGTTTTGAGCGTTTATCAATATGGGAGTCATTTGTATGGGAAAGGCAACTTGAGGTCAGAAATGCTGGGAGTCTTCAACATATCGGAGCGGTAACTCACGCCTGAGGAAAGACGTTTACTATACAAAGCACAAATCTGGCTTCGCGAGGAGTGCTGCTCCCACTTCTGGGCCGAGGCTCTCAAATACCAATTACTTCCATTTAAGGCCATACAAAAAGGGGCCGTTCAAATTTAGTGTTATTCCCATTCACATGGATGATTGGAAGGGTCTACGGATAGTCTTCAATTCTCTGTGTTTTGTACCGTATGTTCCATAGGACTCCCTATGAAGATTTTTTTGAGATGATCGCATCATCTCCTTATTAACGTCGCACCGCCGATCTCCAGAACAAAGCTCCTCCATACTGCCTAGAACCACTGCGTTATCCACAGTGTGTTCAGTAAGATCTTTTCTGCCACGTACCGTCCAGTTTTGGAATGCATTCCCTTCCAGTGTTTCCCATCCGCTATCACATGTCCTTCTTCAAACGAGACTCACAAAGAGTACTCAGCGGTAAAAAGCAGCGTAGCTCTGCCCCTGGCATTGGGCACATCTATAAGTGAAGGTAACCACCCACTATCAGGTGGGCCGTATTCTCGTTTGCCTGCAAGGGCAATAAAAGTAAAAAAAGATTTATGGGATAAAAAATCTATTGTTGGTGGAATAGTTTTGGCTATGCAGACTGCGTCCCTTTTGCCGATACAGGGGGAAAACAACTAAGTCTATGAAATCACATACTATTTTTAAAATAAGTTTTAAATATTTGCATATCTTTCATTCTTCTACTATATTATAGGCTTAGCCGGATTAGGAAATTGTGATTTAGATGCCTTTAGCTCGGTGGCGATGTCATAATTAGATTAGCGTTTATTAGATTTATAATAATAATTAAGGTCTTCAGGTATTTAGTCAATATTTTAGTGCGTGATTCCACGGTACACTTTAAATAAACATTAATGATTTTAAACCAAAAATGTTCCACGTTTAATTACTAAATACCTGAAACAATTCGAGATGCTGCCACTGTAGCTTTGTTACTTATTTGTATGTAAAGATTAGTTGGTAAAATACCTATTCTTCTTTATTATTAAGTAAGGTAAATTTTGTTCGTCTTAAACCAAATCCAATATATTTCATTTAATTTACATACTGTAAATGTATTTTTCTCGAACTTTATTATTTAAATATGAAATTGTGAAAATCTGGATTTTATAGTTTTTTTGTTTTTTTTTTAAATCGTGATGTTGTCAACTATTCCCTTGGTCGTTGCTAGCATTTATCATGGATCTTAGTTTCTATTTAGCGATTGCTTTAAATAAACTGTTGTTGAAAAAATTATGCTGTACAGTTATATATAACTAATGAATATACGAAAACACTTTGGAATTGATGCGCTTTGTATTTACTTATAGTTTTTTTAACCGGCCTCTGGAAAGCAGTATCAAGCATATCGCATAAGCATAGATCTTCGACCCAAGTCTCAAAGTTGCTGACGTCATATGTATATTGACTATGGGCTCTGGTGACCACTTATTGGCTCATTGGATGTTACTTGAGGTCGTTTACCCATCTAATAAAATAAATTAAGAAGTTACCTACCAACTTCTATTCACTCCTTAATACAATAACAATAATTTATTTAACAATAACATAAGTTCAGCAGTTTTCATTGTTCAACTTATAGGAAAACAAAGGATTTTATTATTAGCAGACATTGCCTGTGAAGCCATTTGTAAAATTTATAGTATTAATTGCTTACTGGATCCCATAGAAAAGAGCTTGAAGAATCAATTATTTGACAATTTTTCTCAAGTCGACGACCAGTAGAAATTACAATTGTTAAAATGTAATTAAGCCGTTAAAGGTATTGATATTTGGACGAATACATGACATTTTAACAAAGTAGGTACTCTCCACATGTGACGTGTGTCTGTGGCAACAATGCGAACAACCATCCTGTTATTATAGCCGTATCATTATAAAACTTACGGGATAACACGAATTAAAATCACGTACTAATTAAGAATTTTGTGCACTAAGCCACGTTTATCTATTAATAACATGAAACTAAAAAATAAATTCTGTATGTTTGTTTGCGAAAGATATAAAGTATGTTAAAAGTATAATTGTGTATATTTTTTTAAATAAATATAAATTTGAAATATTGCTCTGTTTTTCATGAAAACCAAATCCCCTTTTTCCATTTAATTTCCTCAATATCTTATTACCTCAGTTTTTACCTACGATTTCGGTCATAAACCAAAATAGAGATTTTTTTCCATTTCCATATTTTAGCCTGTTTTTACAGTACCTTTAGTTTTCTCTCAATCAGTACTAGAGCTGATATCAATAGTTTTAGATGAGTAATAGCAGAATAATAATAGGGTGTACAGTCAGTGTACTATCTATAAAAACTATAGGTACCGTAAAATGGGGCGATTAGGGACAAATTCCAACTTTATGAGCAATTTTAAGGTAGTTGTTGATGTATATAATGCTATATCAGGATCAAAATGATTGAGTCTTGGGGACATCTTTGTTGTCTAATTTAAAATTATGCAACTAGCATTCCAGTTTAAGCAAAAAATGCAAAAATAGGTGTAATCCCTATTTACCCGAAAATTGCGGTTAATTGGGACGAAATGAGAAATTTGCTAGGGTTGGCACTACTTTTATTTTTATAGATAGTTTTAATTTATTTATTTATTTAATTGCACCAACAAAGTGATTATCAATAAAAAAAATTGAAAAACTGACAAAAGTACATGGCAGACATCACCTCAATTATAGGTGCAATCGACAGTGCTGATATTTCTATCTGGGTTAAGAGATTAGGTGTGTCGGTTATTCCATGGATTAATCAGATGAATACCCCCACTCTGAACAAATATTAAATATTTTATTATGTATTACTTAGGACATTTTTGTCCACCTTGAGATTTCATTGATCTTGTTACATGTCTCTGCAAAATCGACTTACTTATATTAAATTGCTTATCTATTTCAACTAAAGACTTATTCCCAATTTCGCTTCGAATAAACCAGATTTTTACCAACAAATTTAAAAAATATTGTTATAACTACATAGACAACCCTACAAACCTGTACCTATTTATACTTAGGTCGTTTCCATTTCACGTATTCTCATCCCAATTGACCCCTTTTTCGTTGTTATTTGTACCTAAGACGTCCCCAATATCCCCAAAAACAACAGATTTTTACATGTATTTTTATTTAATCAAATACATTAAAACCAATAACAACTGAGACTTACCTTTAATATATATGCTGGTTCAAACACTAAATAACGTTTATAAATCATAGTCGTCTTCTATTATTATCAAATAAATAAAAGAGAGCAAAGTTTCTAGCACTAAAATAATTACCACCACAGGAAGTTAATTTGAAACGCGATTTTTTATAAGTTAGCAGCTATTATCATGCATATTCAGAGTTGTTTTGTGAACTTTCAACATTCTACTATTAAACTACAAAAAATGGAAGATTTTGCAACGAATATAAAACTTATATTGAGCGTCGAAAGATTTTCCCGGTTTTTTCCCGATTCGCCTCTCAATCCCTAATCGCCCCATTTTACCGGTACGTAATAATGTAACATAGTTTTTTTTTTCCGAATCGCTGGTAGCCTGAGGCTATTCCAGCTACGTGCACAGGGTTAGGTGAGTTCGCGGCCTCAACCTAAGAGAGCTTGGTAACACAGGTCCTAGCAAGAAGAGTGCTTTGTAAAATCTCCACTGTATCGCTATCGCGAGCCACTGAGGAAATCCGGCAAGAAACTTAATGGGCTGTCTTTATAGGGTTAGTTCGCCGACCACGACGAAAAGTTTGACGAGGACGGTGACAAGTGATTGAAGGACTTAAATGCACCTATAGTGGATCCGGGGGATGCAAAAAGACAACAAAGTAGGTCGCAGCGTTCATATTGAGTTCCGCAACCACTTAACATCGGGTTAACCGCTCGTTCACTCATCTAAAGCAGAAAATGTGCATTAAATACAATTACTGGTGGTAGGACCTCTTGTTAGTACGCACGGGTAGGTACCAACACCCTGCCTATTTCTGCCGTGAAGCAGTAATGCGTTTCGGTTTGAGGGTGGGGCAGCCGTTGTAACTATACTTGAGACCTTAGAACTTATATCTCAAGGTGGGTGGCGCATTTACGTTGTAGATGTCTATGGGCTCCAGTAACCACTTAACACCAGGTGAGCTGTGAACTCGTGCACCAATCTAAGCAACAAAAATAATAATAATTCCAATACAGGGAAATGAAACACATGTTTTTATTTCATTTTTATTATTTTCTTTACACATACTTAAAACGGGAGCTAAAACGTTTGAATTATTAAAATATCTATGATTACTTTCTTTGAAATTTAATGATTTCGACAAAAAGTTTAATGTTAAATGCCCCTTCTTCAGCTTTTACAAAAATACTTTTTTTCTTTCATATAATGGGACCGTTTAAAGCACTTCCCCTCCACTTTGCTTATCATAACAACAATGACGTCACAAATTCTAATAAAAAGAAAAGTTCACTTCTCCAATCGGATCAAGAGCAACGGACAAGGCATGATATATGAGCCGGGTGCAATTAACCGGCTCTCTGAGGAACGCCAATGTACAATCTATTCCGATTCGAACTAGTGATTGATAACTAAAGAGAAGCGAAGACCCGTGCCAATCATACAAACGAAATGTACCTACATACGTGCTTATATGCAGTATCGACATCTAAAGTAAGTACTACTCTAAAACACCTAAATATAGACACATTATCGTTTTAGTTTTAAAAATTGTTACATATTTTATACTTTTTATTATTTAAATATTTGATTACCTACTTTTTTTTACAATTATTTAAATTTATGGTATTTTACTATATTGTGATTTCTGTATCCGACAGCTGACTTAAAAGATCCCAAGGACCGAAGTGTCAGAACCGTTTGCCCGTTCAACACGTTACCTTTTTATTGTTGAGGGCCAAGGAATAAAAATCTGAAATTTTTGGTCAGAAAATAAGTTTTTTATCGTAATCGTTAATGCATTTTAGTTCTCGAGGATTTTAAATTTAATACGCGTATTAATTACAATAGAAAATCTAACATTTTTATGAAGCGATAATAGGAAAACTAGTCGATAGGAAACAATCATAAAATATGCTTATCATTTAATTATAATTAAGGTATTCGATACATATTTAAAAGAGTCCAACATGATGTCACACCATCGCAAGGAATGTACCTGCTAAACATTTCAGAAGAATCGCAATCGCATTGGTATGGCCATTTAATTTCAAATGTAAATTTAGTAAAACTGATAATGCGATTAATAACTTTGTGAACTTAATTTTCATATAAGTCACAACTACTAGTACACTTATCTGATTATCTTTGAATCCTTCGAGTACTATTACTTTTTGCCGCATTTTGTAAATGCCACTGTCCAAAAAAGGTAAAGTCCCATTTTTCTTTGACATTAGACGGATTCATAGCATCATGGCGCACATTTATTTCAATGTATTATTCCTTCACAGCAAAGAACGTTTGTGTTACGTATGCAATTGCATCACCCTAAAAAGCTATTATGGGCGTCTTACCCATTACAGCAGACCAACAAATAGTTGTCCCAACAGTAAAAAGTAATAATACAACATTCTAATGAGTGTGCTTAGTGCGAGTTTTTAACGTTCTCGATAGCGTAAAAGTTAACTCTGCATATAGTTGGAACAGCGCCCCTAGCGGCAAATATAGGCAAGAGCGCTATCGAGAATGTTAAAAAACTCGCACTAAGCACACGGTTGCTCCGTAGCTAGCACCCTCATGCATTGATCAATTTTGTATTATGGATTTCAAATGAACAAACCTTTAAGATCCAATTAATCATTTGGATGCAAGAAAAATGTACAAAATTGTACATAAACTTGCTTTCCCTATTGACGACAAAACGTAGCTTTCACGGTACTGTAGACCTACAACAACTTTTCTATAAGACGCTTCAGGAATCTAACAGAACCTATTAGGATTTAATTTGAATACAGGAGAATCCTGTATGACATAGAAGGTTTACCATTGTTTTTTAGACTTTAGCTTCTGAAAAGAGTAGACAACAAAGCATCTTATAGTTTAATAAAGGTTTATACATACTCTTTGTATTTACAGTTTACCTAAATAGTCTGAATATCTAATAAAACAAGATGTTCAATATTTTAGTCACATCAAATTAAACAAATACCATATTATGTTAGCAACTTACCAATTTACCAAGTTTAGAGAAATCATCTAAAAAATTCTATGTTTTGTTTAAGAGAAGTAAAATATATTATATTCTACCTAATTGTAAATTTCTTATTTTCAAAAATTTTCATTTTGATCAAAACAAGCTATCTTGGTTATCTTTTTACATTAATTTTATGAGAATCGAGGAATAGGCATCATCTGGACGGCGAAGCGGAATCTAGCCTGTTATACGTTATTACAATGTTTTCTTGGTAATAAGATATTTATACAAAATAGATTATTTTTGGCATGATTACTGAAAATGATAACATGATTGAACAGAAAAACCTCAAAATATTTGGTAACTACACACACATTATACAATCCTTAACAGAAATTAATAAGATTTGTTTATTAATTTACATTTTTACGGCTATCTTCATGCGCCAGAGTCGTCATGTGGTATTGATCTAACCAACCTTAGTAGAATTTTATTTTTTATATACTTGTCATCATCATACAATCATGTCCATATTTATTAAAACTGGCTAAACTGACACCGAATGGATGCATCATATCTCATGAGTAGCTTTAGATAGAACAATAGATTAATATTTCTTGCAAAAACTTGTCTATGTTCTAAACACAATGTGTATTCGTTTTTTTTATATAAAATAATTATGCCGTTAGGATTTATGCATTAAATTTACAATATTTTATTCCATTGTAAATCTTGTAATGCTGAGCTTTAAGCATGATACCATCTCGTTACATGTCATGATCAAGGTCTGTTCAGTACTGATTTGGTAAACATAAGCTTTAGGTTAGATTTGATCTAATTTATAAATTTTACAAGTGATTGAATGAACTAGTTAGAAATTATAGAGGGGCAAATACATTTTTTTAGAAATTAGTACTCTTATTAAAACTATGTTAGTAAAGTATGCTTTTTAGTATAATAATATGATTATTTGGTTTATTTATTATTTATTTTATTCATATAACGCAAAAGTTTTAGTATATAATATTTTATACCATTTGTTATCACTTCCTTACAGAAATGTACAAAGGACATTTTGGTCAAACATTTGGCATTAAAATAAATAAGTCAAATCATAAGTCTACCATAGACATTACATTTGAATGGCAAGATAAGAAAAAAAAAAAAACAATTAATTTTCATAAAACAATGCCTTAAAGGAATGTTAATAAAAAATAAGCTATTTTTTGTTGATCTAGTATTCTACTTTGCATGTAAAAAACCAACAAAAGATCTTTTTTTTAATTAATTTTATATTTAGATAATTCACAGAAAAGAGAGGGCTGTTCCACAACCATATGTTATAGTAAGATCTAATAAAAATGTTATTTAAATAAAAAATAAAAAAACTTTTGCATAGATTTGGGTGATCTAAAAGTCTCAAGTTTAACATGGGACTTATCTTCGTTTATTCACTGAAATTCGTCATCGGAGCTGAGCAGCGTGGTCTTCTCGTGGTAATTGGTGGCGTGGCAGATGGTAGCGACGCGCTGGGGCGGCGGGCGAGGAGCCAGAGCCGCTCCTTCCTCCCCACGCTTACCGGATTCCGTGTGACCGCGCATTACTATCATATCACAAAACTCGTCTTAGGGCTGATTCACATAAGACAAAAATAATTGAATACAAGTGGCGGGATTACCATTTATATTTTAGGCTTGGTTAACATCAACAGTTACAAAAAAAACTCGTATAGGTCCGGCGACCAGTGGCGGATTGGCAGTCTCGGCCGCCCTAGGCCCCAGCCATCAGCCGCCCCTTTCTCAGCATCCATCATATAGACTACATAATGAAATTACTTAATTGCCAACTTTTATCTAAATAGATTTAGAAGTTTAGGAAAAAAAAATTAGGTTTATGCGGTATCGATTGCACCATGCAGTGCAGTCCGCCCGCCATACGTTATAATAAGTTCTTTGACACGATTGGGGCCGCCCCTATATCTGACCGCCCTAGGCCAGAAAAAAAAAAGGGCACGATTGGGGCCGCCCCTATATCTGACCGCCCTAGGCCTGGGCCTACCGGGCCTTAGGGTAAATCCGCCACTGCCGGCGACAATCAATACGACAATGAAACTAGACGCATTTCAATTGAAACTCGTATGTAACGTTCGTTTCCGGCAAGACTAATCTTAATTTTTAATTGATATTCCCGCCTGCTTGTATCCGAAAAAAATCTTCTTGCGTACATCAGCCCATAAATTATAAATATTAAACACCAGCTCACCAAATAACTAAGACCTACATTCCGATTTAAGGAGTTCGGTTTATCTGAGCCCAGTATTAGTCATATTTAACACTCGCACAAACGTTAAAAATCCATAACCGAGAAACATTGAAATGTAATCCATTTATTTTAAATTTGTAATCAGCACCAACCACCACCTTAAATTCATTAATGCAAATTTACTGTGACGTGCGTTTCTGCTTTATCTATTTTTAGTGAATCAAAACTTAAAAATGTGTTGATATTTTATTATAAATTTGCTTGTGTTTTAATAAATTTTAATGTTTTAGTTCCAAAAAGCGGTGTCTGTTTGTGCAAATTTTATTGTGGTATGAATTACTCGTAGATTTATACTTAAAATTTTACAAAATTATGAAAATTAGTATTTCTATATTTTCTGTAACCTCAAATGTTGTAGCATCAGAATGTATGTAAGTAAATATGATTGCGTTTTAATTGTTGAAAAAGTAAGGATATATATCAGTTATTCGAATACAAATTGAGATTTTGACCTCATATCTTAAGGTCAAGTCGTATTAAGTCAATGGGCAGTTCGTCTACCCATAAGCTAGTAAGGTGGCCAAAGATTAAACATTGTGTGTAACTGAACTACTCCCAAACAAAAAGTACATTATTTATTACTAGAAACTAGTGTTTATATCAGTATAACAGCATGCAACAACACGTAAAACATACCATGGTTTTAGTGACATGATACATGCAAGCAAATTAATGTCGAAAAGAAGCCAAATATCCGACCATCTATCTACTCATATTATTGGAAGCTTTTTTTTCAGATCGTACATTTTATTAAAAACACTGACAAATTAATTTTGCACTTATTATGTTTTATTACGATTTTCTTGATGTTACGAATACTTTCCAAAGTCACAGATAAACTTTACCTGCTGAATTAAAATGTAAGTGTTTTTAATAAATATATTTCTTACCTCATTGCACTCCGTTGAACGCCAACTTTACTGTATATCTAATTTGTAAAACATTGAATGTATTTTACTAAATAAAATACTATTTATGAAGAGAGTTTATTAATTAACGGGTGGCAAATTACAGTTTTAATAAAATTGTGGTAGAAACGCCGACTATAATATACCAAACTTAACCTATCTATAATTAAATGAAAAAAATACAACTAAAATATAAAAAAATCTTAAAATTTCTAAATTAAAAAGAAAATGTTTGGTTTTATAGACATTTAATAAAAAAGCGGATTTTACAAAGCTATGTTAAGATAATTTTATTTCGAAAACGTATATACCACTTTTTGGTATGGCAACACATAATGAATGGCCAGACAGCCACGTAAGAGGTCGTGTTTATTAAATTCTATTCTAAATTTTCAATTAAAGGATTTTATCCAGTAACCATAGAAAAAGAAAAAAAAATCACAGAAAGAAATCGTTTTATATGGTAAACCCAAAAGTTTAAAGCGCGCACTTTACACAAAAAATGTCTCAAATTTATTATTGAATATATTTTTTTAATATTTTATGGCCTGTTTTAAATATTGAAGGTTCTATTGCCTGCACATTATATGTACGCTTGCACCTGATCGATACTATGATAGATCAATCATTTGATTAGATTTATAGCCTTTTGTTTTAATATTTATTGATTGACTTACAATTCATCATGAAATAAGAAAGACGTAGATAATTTTAAAACCAGTGAACTAGAATACTTTAAATCGATGAGAACCGTGAGCTATTAAAACTAAAAATCTATTTCATTAGTCAAGGAATCACCAAAAGATGTCGTCTTCCTTTATTTAGTCTAAAACAAGAGAGACATCGACCTGTTCTATCAGATTTATATTAATAAGTTGATAACAGATAAATATAAAAAAGATAAGGTAACAAATATGGCAATTAGTAGTCCGAATTATTAGTGCGGCAATATCAAACAAAGTGTGTAATTTGTGTTTTATACAAATGTTTTTTTAAACACTATATAGTGCGATTACGGACTAGCCAAATACCTGTTATTTATAAAGTACTAATTCAAAATCGATTTCGTTAAATACCGAGCACTTGAAATTCGTATTTCTGTTAGTAATAATAATATAATCTAGATCAAGAATTTAAGTTAAAAAAATCGTGTTTTTAAACCTTTTTTTTTTACAAATATTATTTTATTTTAAGCATTGAAATAATTTTCAGATAATTCTCTTTTTTTGGGGTAACACTTAATTTTAATGAAATTATAAAAAAAAACATATGAGATGAAATTAAAACTAGCTTACTAATGAAACAATTATGCTGTTGACTTTTTCGTTACCGTTAGCAATAATGACAATGCGAATGAGGTTGTCAACCCTGTTCACTTATAAAACGCTATTAATTAGGAAGTGCATATAATCACAAATCAAATAAAAAAATATATTGTTTATTAAAACTCTTAACAGGTAACGCGGGTGCCGAAGGATTTAAGAAAAAAAAAACACGGGTAAATTTAAATAACATTGCTGTCACTCCCTTCAAACTTCAACGAAAAGAGCACGAAAAGGACTAGCACAGGTCGGTTTGAAAATTTCCGTGAAATTCGACATTTCGTGTTCCCCTGTCCTCCAAAAATGGACTGATTTAAATTAAAAATTTTTTCATTAAAAACATTTTAGCGTCGTTGTGATTTGAAACTCCATTAAACGGAAATTTTAATGACATTCGAAAAGCGAACAATAAAAAGAGACAAACGTATAAACCGCCTGCAAGAGAATGAGATGGAACTAAAATTTTCATTACACTGCTGTCGAGAGTGAATGGCATATTTGTTTTTTTTTATTGAAATGATGTATATGTATTTTATAACTATATATCCTCATAATGTAATTTATACCTGTAAGTTTTGATTTTATTTGTTTTAAACGCATATTATTATTTTATCAGAGCATAAAGGAGGGCACGGCAGTAGTAGATACGATATATATGTATTTAATTAAATATTTACTATGGGGTTTCGATGCAGGGAGGAAACGTTCGCGTGAACAAAACGTAACCCGCGCTTGCTTTTTAAGCACAACAAATAAGGAAATAACGTAATTAAATCAGCCAAATAAAAAGCACACCTAAACGATAATAAGGTACACGTAAATAATGTTAGTGGCGTTTCCATGCTCGGATGTTAAATTAGATGTTTTTTTTTTATTTATTTATTGCGACATGTATTTATCAGAGAACACGACAATGCGTTTCATGCACAGCTATGGCGGTTTTTATAGTTTCTCATAAGGCAGGTGAGAAGTAACATCTGAAAGGAAATGAAAACAAAAAAAAATATAATTTTTTCCGATCTATTGCATTTTCTATTCCCATTTACGATTTTATTATGGATTTGCGGTTGCGTTCGAAAGTTGAATGTTTAACTTCAAAAAATAATAATCACAAAATATGTATGTACCATCATGATTTGTCATGCTTTCGAATTCCATTTTTAAATTTTTATTTTCCATAACAAAACTACCCACTTTATTATTTATCTGTGGAAATCAAATAGTGTATCAAGACGAAACATGTTTTCAAATGACGTCGCATCACTATTATCGATATTTCTCTTGCTAGGGCTAGTGTTACCAGGATCATCTCGGGATCGAGAGCCTTGTGAGCTAACGTACCAGTCCCCGCGTAGTTATGCCCTATTAGACTACCAACGATTGGGTAGAGTAAAAAAAAACTATCGATTACATTACGCAAATAAAATACATACACAGGCTTATATGAAGGCGTCATGCGCTAAATGACATAATACATATTATGATCGTAAACGTGTTTCTTACCGGAGCTGTACTGGGTGTACTGCTGGTACTGCGGATGGAAGTTGTGGAAGGCGTCCGTCATTATGTCCTTGGGATTCATTGTCTCCTGAAAATTTCAAAGAAACATGTCGTGTTCGTATATTTTCCTTTGAACGATATATATATCTACTAGGTTTTGCCCGCGACTTCGTCCGCGTGGAACAGTTACTTTGGCATAACGCTAAATTTTACCGGCGTCTTCAGTTACGTAGAAAGTGAAAATATTTTTGAATAATAGAATGTCAAAGAGCTATTTAAAGTACCAAAATCACGCTTTTTAACCGACTTCAAAAGACGAGGCTATCAGTTCGACCACCATTTTTTATCTATGTATGTTCACCGATTTCTCGAGAATGCTTGAATCGATTGTTCCGGCGCCTTGTACATCAATATTACGCGCTAGATCATTATTTTGCTGCGATGTTATTTTAAAACTGCGATATCTTCTTATACTCATTAAAATACTCATAACGAGATACTCATTAAAACCGCGTGGATAAATTTCTTTAAAATTAAATACTTGTAATGAATAACGTATTTATTTGGATAGGGATTATCTTCATAAAAATACCTTCACAAATAATGCTTTATTTTAGAGCAAATTTCGTTAGCATAAAAGAACGTTATAGTGAGCCAACCTTAACATATAGACATATGCTGTCGCGGACTTTTTTTTAGATCTTTTAAAGGGGAACATTAAAAATTAAAAAAAAAGTCGCTACGGTTTGACTGGCAAGATTGTCATGTGAAGGTTTCTGAAGAGCGTACCTTGAGGCTGCTGGAGATCGACTGCATGGTGAGGGAGCGGTGCGGGTCGCGGTGCGAGTGCACGTACACGGCGGCCGGGAACGCGTACCGCAGCGCCACCGCCGCCGCGCACATCTCGATGCAGATCAGGAAGTTCTGGTAGCCCGCCGACACGGTACCGGCCGTCGTGGGAACGTTGCTCGCGTCCAGTATCGGGGAGATCACTTGCGCCTTCTCGAGTATGGCCAGGGCGACGCCTGTAAACACAGTACAACAACACGTCCTTACGGATCCATCCAATACCCCCTGCACCAAGCTTTGGCGCCAGGAGGGGGTCACATAGTCAAATTTAGATGCGTTCGTTCCCAAACGTTTGCCATTATAATAAGTTATTATATTATATTAAATTAATTAAATATTGAAGGTATGTAGTTACATAAAATCTGTATGGTGACAAAATATATAAATAAAATCATTATATTCAATTAGTGGTCCACCTAAGTCCTGGAACCAGCTCAGGGGCTGGTCATGACCCCCATGACCCCCCCCCCTGGATCCGCCATTGCCCTGCACTAGACGCCTTCAGCTCTAATACTAGGAGCAGACTTAGGGACCCTGGTAAACGTACTCGTCGAACTCAGCAGAGTTCCGACGAGCAACCTAACCTAAAAATCAGCCCGCTGTGCCAGCAACATGTGGCAACAGATTCTACTAATATAGTTTTTAATGTAATAGTACTAGTATGTTATCGTCAATGTGATTTAACTTAATAGGAACGTCACTTGTCTCTCTCGCTCACTGTCACGGAGATGAAGTCAACAACTGCAACATTACCCATTAACATTTTTATATATATAAATCAATCCAATATCATTCAATCCATCCGTATATTACGATTCGAACAGGTCGAGACATTTCAAACGCTCAAATGCACTGTACGGAACTCACCTTGCCAGAACGAAAGAAATATGACAGATTTAACGGTGAAGAACTTCAGAACCGGATCGAAAGGCTTCAGCATCTCCCTGGTGGCTCCGAGGAAGAGGAACAGACCGTAGAGTGCCAAGCTCACGGAGAAATTATTGATGATCGTTATGTAAATGTAGCCGCCGTTGGGACTCCAGTCGCCGTCGTGGTAATGCCCGAAAGCCTGTAATACAAACATATAACTTTTTTTTAACGAACAACAACAAATTCACGACCCATTTGGTTTACGTGGTTACCATAATCATAAACATCACAGGCAAAAAGATTACATCTATAAATCCTATGATCCAGAACAGTCACATATTTAATCTGTGACACAATAGAATTTCCCGCAAATAAATTTTGACAGTGACGCAGTCACGTCCGAAGAATCTTCAAAAAAAAAAGGTAATCGCCCACAGATCTGAAATTAAGACAGCCAATGAACAAGTCGGTCAACGGTCTTTCCTTCTGACGGTCGTCCTGTTTCATAAACACCGCCTACATTGCACTTTAAAACAATACGACTGGTTAATTGAGTACATCCACCTCCTTACTTTATTGTACTTAGTACAAATTGTTATCCACCCACGTCAGTTCTGAGTATCGCAATTGTATTGCATGACGGTTAACCAATTTATAATACAAGAACAAATTATTCATAGCGAATAGGCAGGATGATGGTATCTACTCATTTTTACAATAATTTCAAGATGTCGACTACTGCATTGTCGATTGCACCTATTGCCACCTATTATTTTAATGGAGGTGACATCTGTCATGTACCTCTTGTCAATTTGTCAATGTTATTTATTGATGACTAGCTGACCTGGCAGACTTCGTAGTGCCTCAATCGATAAATAAAGGTCCTAAGCTTTTGTATAAAATAAACTCAAAACAAACAAAAGGAATCCGTCCGACGGGGGACACAACAAAATTGTTATTTTTATTTAGTTCCAAGCATTTTCATATTTGTCTACCTTTTAAACCTTCTCTGGACTTCCAAAAATAATTTAAGACCAAAATTAGCCAAATCGGTTCAGCCGTTCTCGAGTTTTAGCGAGACTAACGAACAGCAATTCATTTTTATATATATAGATCACTTTGTTTGTACAGCTAAACAAATAAATACTCTGGCGGGCTTACGGTATGATTTACGACCACAATGCTCGAAGAACGCAGTCACAAATTATCGGACGAATTATTTTTACGACACTCGCTAAAAGCGATGGTTTGATACATAATTTGTAATTGTCATATTCAAGTATTTTTTTCGATTTTATCATAATATATCTATTGTATATTGGTAACACGTGATACGTTTTTAAATATTTTCGTGGGACAGGCGATAATAATACAACACTAAGTTTTAATAACGGCTATCTCACCCCTACCTATTCTAATAGCCTCCTGAGGTTACTAAAACAGGCAGAAAAAAAAATGCCACCCCTCAAATCGGTAAATACAGAGTTTTGCTTCGAAATCGATTCAGTCACGTTTCAAACTACATCCGTCACGGTTTAAATCGGAGCGCTTTAGCGATAGTTTAAAAAAAAATTAACTAGGTTAACTGGCCATAAAACTAAAATTCATTACGCGTAACAAAAATGCCCATAACCCGGACCGGGCATCTGCTTCGGTACCGCAAGTTTCCGACGCGAATTGCTCCGGAGGTCTTGACCTCTCGAGTACAAACTATTAATTCAGCCCTAAAGACTATTAGCAACTACACTGGACCGATTGTTCATCTCTTTTTAGTGGCCGGTTTAGAGTGAGATAGAAAACATATACAATAAAGAAAATTTTCACTGTTCAAAATATTGAATGAGCTCACAGTCCACCACTTAACACCAGGTGGGCTGTGAGCTCGTCCACCCATCTAAGCAATAAAAAAAAACCTCGCCCACCTTCAGACATGAGATAGAAGTCTCAATATATTGTTTAACGTGTTTAACGGCTATTCCAGCCGTTCAGCCCAATTCCTGAACTTCGCTCAGAAATGACGGGACGGTGGTTCTACCTACCCGCGTGGACTTACAACACTCTCCCCCCTCGCCAGTACAACATCAAAAACAAATACGCCGTAGTGTTATAAATTGAACCTGTTTCAATGGCCTCAGGTTAGGGTCCCGTGTGCTCACCTAGTAGTTCTGTGAATCTAGTCTGACCCCTGGGGGTTACTAGAATAGGTAGGATAAAAAATAAAATAAAAGTGTTTCAATTGATTCGTTCGGAATCACCGAATTCCTAACTGCGTCGTACTACAAGATATAATATGTTTGAGTTAAGATGTTTTTTTCTCCTTCTTTAGCTTTTTAAACACAAAGAAGTTATTGGTGTTGAATCCGTTTTAAATTCGAAATTTGAATTCGTAAACCAGTTACATTCTTAGAAATTCGTAACGCAGAACGTTTGTTTGTATGTACAGAATGTAGAAACAAAAAAACCCAACATTAATCACGTACGTGACTAACCAAAGTTTATCTCCGCAATTAAAGTGCTTTATCGACATCGTTCTACTGATAATGGTGTTCTTGTTTTCTACGATTCCATTATTTTTTTATGTTGTTTTCGAAGACGAACAAACAGCCCATCTGACGGGAAGTGGTCCTTAATAAACATGGACATCAACAAAACCGGGCACAGTTGAGCAATTGCTTACAAAACACTTGAAATGTTTGGTAAGTCCACGTTTTTACATTTATGTATTTTACATACAGGAATAACACAATAGAAAATGCTTAGATCAGGGTCGACAAAACTGAAATGTAATTGTTTTTTTTTTATATGAGTATTAGCTGTACCCGTCCGCTTCGATGGGCATTTAAAATTAACATTATTATTTCTCACCCCCACAAAGATTCTCATCATTAACGCCCCCGCAACTGGCGTAGGGAGTCCAACACTCATATAAATATTAGCCTATCCATTAAGTACATGTATTTTCTACATGGATTCGAAGTTTCAAGTCAATCGGATGCATGGTTCAGTAGTTATAACGGAACATTCGTAAAAACCACTGTAGATTTATATATTACTACAGAGTATAGATTTGTAAGTCGTCGTGGCCTAACGGATAAGACGTCCGGTGCATTCGTGTTGAGCGATGCACCGGTGTTCGAATCTCAGGCGGGTACCAATTTTTCTAATGAAATACGTACTCAACAAAGGTTCACGATTGACTTCCACGGTGCAAGAATAACATCATGTAATAAAGATCAAACCCGCAAAATTATAATTTGCGTAATTACTGGTGGTAGGACCTCTTGCGAGTCCGCGCGGGTGGGTACCACCACCCCTGCGTATTTCTGCCGCGCAGCAGTAATGCGTTTCGGTTTGAAGGGTAAGGCAGCCGTTGTAACTATACTTGAGACCTTAGAACTTATATCTCAAGGTGGGTGGCGCATTTACGTTGTGGATGTCTATGGACTGGCAACCACTTAACATCAGGTGGGCTGTGAGCTCGTCCATCCATCTAAGCAATAAATAAAAAAAGAAGATAAAATCACCTGCAAGAAAATGATGACGAAAGCGCAAAGCGGCTTTATGAGGCAGAACTGTAGGGTTGCCTGCTTGCAGAAACGGAGGAAGCCGATCGTGTACGTTGCTCCTGCCAGGCAACACGTGCCGTTGACGCAGGACGCGCGCACCGGCCGCCCGCGCAGCTCCGACATTATGTTCCCTTCGCCCCCGAGGTACTCGTAGCACAGGGACAAGAAGCTATAGATCACGAACGCTACGAACAAGAAAGCAATAAGAGTCTAGTTAAATACGCAGAGGTGTAGTGTATACACAAAGAAACCAAGCATTAGTCGCCGAGGGATAGAACGACCTTATTACCTCGTATTAAATGGGAAAACTTTGAAATGTGTATACTTATACATTATAGCATAGCATAGTATTACCATAGCATTTAGTATATAACATAATTAATAGGTGTAATCTCGCATGTCCCCCTAATAAGGCGGACCACCCAGAAACATAGGCTTCTTCATGATCGTAAACTAGGATTAAGATGATTATTAAACATGGAGTACAAGCAAGAAGACGTTTTCCTTTAACAGCTCCCAAAGTACAACATTACATGGCGACCCTGCCAAACGGTTAATTTTGTTAGTTTAATGTAACATTACAACTTAATGGCGTCGTGCCCTAAAGGATAAGACGTCCGGTGCGTATGTAGTGATGCACCATTGATCGACTCCCGCAGGCGGGTACCAATTTTACGTACGAAATACGTACTTAACAAATGTTCACGATTTACTTCCACGGTGAAGGAATAACATCGTGTAATAAAAAACAAACTCGCAAAAAATATGATTTGGTAATTACTGGACGTCTTGTAAGTCCGCTCGGGTAGGTACCACAACCCCGCCTATTTGCCGTGAAAGCAGTAATGCGTTTCGGTTTGAAGGGCGGGGCAGCCGTTGTAACTTTATTGAGACCTTAAAACTCATATCTCAAGGTGGGTCGGGGCATTTACGTTGTAGATGTCTATGTGCTCCAGTAACCATTTAACACCAGGTGGACTGTGAGCTCGGCCACCCATTCAAGCAATAAAATAAAAAAACCTTATGGATCACCTCGTATTAAATGCTAACAGTACCGACAAACATAACTATGCAGTGGCTAAATTCAATTGTTTATTACGTCTAAATTATAATCGTGTTGCGAAAAAAATATATGCATTAACACAGGAAACGAATTACGTCCGCTCAGTTTGTTTCGATAAATTTGCTCGCTTCAACAATTTACAAATATATAATAACTAATAATAACTGGGAACAAACCAGGCGCGGTCCCAATTTAGAATTCCCTGTCTTATGTTTACCAGAAACTGATAAACATCCTTAATATATATGTTATATAATATATATGTTATATAGATAATAAGTACCCAGACAAAGAGCAAACAAACCTGTTCATCGCACAATGTTTGTCCGATGTGGGAATCGAACCCACGACCCTCTGCGCAACAGTCTAGGATGCTAACAACACCGCCACCGAGTCAGTCGTATATAAAATACCTATATATTTCTTTTTAAATTAAACTTAACTCAGTTTTGTAGTTAAATGTAACACCAAAAAAGTTATTTCCATTCCAAAAATACGTAACACATATTTGTCTTTGCATACATAGGTACACATGTACATATTTTACATATGTTACATCTGCATTCGAATGAGAACAATAAAAATGTTACTGCTGTTTCTCGAACATTGCGAAACTTTCTCTATACAAATATCTTGTTATTATGTTTCTAAGCAACAATTTATTATTTAACATTTTATTATATACTAGCGACCCGCCCTCGCTTCGCTTCCGAAACTGTAATTTATAATTGATTTCTCCAATATTTAATGGATGTTATTATACATATAAACCTTCAATCACTCTATCTATTAAAAAAAACCGCGTCAAAATCCGTTGAGTAATTTTAAAGATTTAAGTATACATAGGGACAGACAGATATAGGGACAGAGAAAGCGACTTTGTTTTGTACTATGTAGTGATATCAATTATTTATAAAAAAATCTTCTATTTTGTTTTTGGTCTACGATTCTGGGAGACGTGTTCAAAAACTCAAATCTCTAGTCGATCTGGAAATTAGATAAGAAAGCGATTGACATTCTGTATAGTACTACTACATATGTCAGAAAACATAGTCCCACGTTCAATTTAAAAGTTTGGTTCAAATTCAATGTGAAAGTTTAATTTAGTTACTAAAATGTTTAGCTACTAAACTAAACTAGTGTGTAACCGAATATATTTTACGTACCATACCATACCTACTAAATGTATCAAAATTACCGTTATTTTTAAACTTTTTAAATTGCCTCCTGATGCTCGCTATTATCCCTATTATCACTGTTTCCAGCTTTACAAACTAAATGTGTAATATTTAGCGCTATTAGTTACCAAATATAGCTCTTGTGACATAGAAGCAAATGAGTCGCTACGACCAGCGAGTGTTGATAGTGTACCTTGCATTGTCGAGACTCAGTGGAGGCCAAGATTGATTAGTATTTAAAAGAAACTGCATCTAATCCATAACCTGTTTCTTCAATATACTCTACCGAATAACGAAATCCTCTGAACAAGTATCGTCCGAGAACAGGTCACTTGTTGCGAAATTCTGAAGGTTACCGGCCTTGGCCACTAGCTACCACGTCTCACATATCGTTGACTCATAAACCAATAAGAACACGTATCTTCTACGTAATGCGTGCGACTGATATGAAATGATTTCGATTAAATACATAGATAAATTCATGCACTATTCCAGGTATGATTGTCCTTTTAATTTGGATGTTATTAGTTAGTTTTGACCCTTTTTCGGATAATTTTAGACTATTAACCACCAGTAGTATCATTTACAAAGGTCAAAGATACAATATAACCGCAGTAAATAAAAAAAATCCCTATTTACCGTTTTTTATTGCTTAGATGGGTGGACGAGCTCACAGCCCACCTGGTGTTAAGTAGTTACTGGAGCCCATAGACATCTTCGACGTAAATACGCCGCCCACCTTGGGATATAAGTTCTAAGGTCTCAAGTATAGTTACAACGGCTGCCCCACTCTTCAAACCGAAACGCATTACTGCTTCACGGCAGAAATAGGCAGGGTGGTTGTACCTACCCGTGTGGACTCACAAGAGGTCCTACCACCAGTAAGTACTTCTCAAAACCCCACGGTCAAAACAGGACTAAAACCGTAAAAATGAAAATGAGTTGATTTTGTGAAATTTGCTCATTTATTGACACGTGTTGAATCAGAATCAATTTGTTATTGTACACTGACTCACTTTTAACGAAAATGACGTAAGCTCAGAGGCGATTTTTGTAAATTCAAAATACAATGAATTAGCGGTAATATAACATGACTGGATTCAATTCAATGAGGTATGAGCGTACGGGGCATTTACGTTGTAGATGTCTATGGGTTCCAGTAACCACTTAACACCAGGTGGGCTGTGAGCTCGTCCACATATCTAGGCAATAAATAAAAAATATATATATATATATACTTCACTTTTGTTCTTGAATTTCTAGTTCTATTTGAGTTTCAGAAATAGTAAGATAAGAGATTAATTAATTAAATTCTCGTAAGAATAGTTAAAATTATGATTCCTAGTAGTAGTAATAAATAAATAGTAATAAATAAGTAGGGTAGTAATAAATAAATATAACAATCATCCATCAACAGGAGTTTTCAGTATTTTTTGTATGTAAATCTAAACATTTATTTACTCGATGTATGTGTGAATAACGATGCGCTTCCAGCTTTATAAATATTGAAAGAAACACTTGCGCTGTTCACACATACAAAAAAAAACATATACCCACACAAATGAAACCAATAGAAGTATTGTACCTCGTGCTATCGCAGGCTAAGTGCTGTAGAGATGTCCTGCCTATGTCGGCCGCGAAGCAGTCATGCTTATCGATTGAAGGGTACAACAGCCGTTATGCAATATAGTTGAGACTTCAACCTTATTTCTCAAAGTGAGTGAGTGATCGGGAGTTTCCTAAATGACGTGTTTTGGGCGACGGTGACTGTTTGTCGTACCGATCATCTTTTATTTTTATTGCTTAGATGTGTGGACGAGCTCACAGCCCACTGGTGTTAAGTGGTTACTGGAGCCCATAGACATCTACAACGTAAATGCGCCACACACCTTGAGATATAGTTCTAAGGCCTCAGTATAGTCACAACGGCTGCTCCACCCTTCAAACCGAAACGCATTACTGCTTCACGGCAGAAATAGGCGGGGCGGTGGTATCTAACCGTGCGGACTCACAAGAGGTCGTAATCGTCGAGTAATCATCTGGATCGGGTATGGAATTTGCGGCAATCACGATAGGAGGGGTAAGCCCTGGTCAAAACTAACAATAAAGTTAGCGTTTCAGAAAAAAAGCTTGCTAAGAACAAGTTTCACAGTTATGGATGTGTGTGCTTTTACTTATTTTTTCGCGAACCTCGCGTTGGAAAAACAGCTCTAGAATTTATTCCTAAAACTATATATCATTATCGTACAAACAAGCTTCGTTCGGTTTAACAAAACAATTTGATGGCCCCACGCTTACCTTCATAACAATCCCTGACGGTGAAGAAGTACACGTAGTAAGAGTCTCCATTGAAGAAGAGCAAAGATATCCAGCTGTAACAGCCGTATATTGGGACGATAAATAGGATTCGCACGATCCAACGTTGCTCTGATGGGTTTGTGTACCAACGCAAATGCTGGTATATCTGTAATTCAAACACGAAATATTATTTACAATTGACTCCCTCATGCTGTAGGCATCAGTTTATTCTCAAGCGCCTAACGGGGTATCTTCATCCGGTTAGAAAATGTTACACTGACTCTGGCCGATCTTTAATCTAATGAGCGGTGCATTCCAGTCTGATGATAAGACCCTTATAATGCATGTGAGTAGGAGATGTATGGAAATGGTAGTGCAAGGTAGAGGGGGAAAAGGTCGACCGAAGAAGACATGGATGGAGTGTGTGAATGACGACATGAGAGAGAGGAGTGAGTGTTGAGATGACGGCTGATAGAAGATAATGGAAAAGAAAAATTAGTTGTGCCGATCCCAGCTAGTGGGATAAGGTGAAGAAAAAGAAAAAAGAAGGTAAGACTCTTACAATTATCTACTATTATCAATAATATTGTAAGTTCTGCCTCATGTCTCGATGTAACCGGCGATATCCACTTTGTTATGTCTATGGGCTGTTACCGCTTTCTCCAGCCGGCTTGTGAAATCATCTAAATGTCTAAGGCAATAAAATACTAGTTATAGCAATCTTTAACGTAATATAAGGCTTGCACGATCTCCCTCCAAATCATTTAATCTAACTTTCTAGAAGATCTGCGTTCTCTGAACCTATTTAATTCTTAACCATATTCTCCACCTTTCATCTATTGTATCAAATTAAATAGGATCAAGATCATAAAAAAAACAAGTAAGAATCATAATTTTAACTATTCTTCCAAGCATTTAATTAATTAATCTCTCTTGTCTTAGAAGATTGATATAGAATAGATAGATATAGAAGTAGAAATCCAAGAACAAAAGTGAAGAATATTTCAATAGAATTTCGAATACCCATTATTAGTTACTAAACAAAATTAAAACCGGACAAAAGACTGAACTGGTTTTCGACGTCGTCGCAAAAATTATTATATAATAATTAAATGTATGTGTGGACGTTTATTCAGATTCATCTTAAGATATTTGTGTTCCACACAAGCAACGTTCGAGAAATTTGTGTAGCTAAAATCCACATATTTCTGCCGTCCGACTTTATCAGATAAGTATCTTTCGTATGCCTTGAGGTTGAGTCACTTTTACTTTTTATTTTTAAATCGACATTTAATTTTTTTAAAGTGTACATATTCTAATTACTTACATTTCTTCTCAAATTATACACAAAATATAATTAAGGCGACGTGAAATTTAGGTGATAGGGAAATTAAAAAAGCCAGGCCCCGTTACGGAGATATCCGATTATGTTGCCATGACGAAAGCGAATTTGGGGCATTCTCTTCATTTGCAACTAAATCAAGCTATTAGGTCCGAGACTCGAGTTTAATTGACCGTGACTTAACGGTGGCTCGCGTTAATACAAACCTATGCATGGTAACCAATTTCTTCTTCACATTATAATGTTTGCGGTAAACTTAAGCTGCGTGCTAGTTCAGTGAAGTTTAATGGGAGCATTGAATATAAAAACTATCTGCATAACATCGACGTGCTATTAATTAATGTATGTACAAATGAAATTTTTTTCATGTTTGATTTTTTTTCTTCGAATTAAACATCCTATATAAATACTGGTATGGATAAAAATGGTTTTAAGCTACGTCAAAAAACGAAGAAGTTCTTAATTCGACTGTATTTTTTATGTGTGTTACCTCAGACCTTTTTTCTAGGTGAACCGATTTTGATCATGCTTTTTGCTTAAATGGGTGGAAGACCTCACGGCCTATCTGCCGTTACGGGGTTCTCGGATATACACATCAACAACGCAAATACCGCCACCTGCCTTGAAGACATGAGTTCTACGTCCCAGTTTTATAGTACAACCCCTTCAGCCTTCAAAACGAAACGCATTACTACTTCACGGTAGAAACAGCCAAGGGTAGTGGCACCTACCCGTGTGGGCTCACAAGACACCCACCCTACCAGTAGCCTACAAGTAATTATGCAAATTATACTTATTGCTGTTTGGATTTTTATTCACGATCTTCGTCGTGGTGGTCATTCGTGAACATACCACATCTGTCTGACTTGAGCACCGGCACTGTTGAATTACTCGAGCCGCCTTTTTCTTTAGGCCAAGACTTGTCATTCACAATGATTAATTTTTTATTTGAAAGCTGATGCTCTTCTCATGTCACGAACTGACCACAGTCCACTGAGTTTCTCCGGAACCTCTCAGTGGGTCGCGTTTCCGATCCGGTGGTAGATTCCGCGAAGCACTGCTCTTGCTAGGGTTAGTGTTAGCATCACTTCGGTTTGAACCCCGTGAGCTCACCTACTAGTTAAGGTTACGCTGAAATAGCCTCTCAAGGGTATCAGCTTCGGCAGGAAAAAAAAAAGCACTGACCAGTAGTTGTCAGAATTAGATTTTTACTTAATAAAGCATATTTAAATGACTTAGTCTACATTGATGATATTCTCATTTAATTGGATTGAAGTCGGTTTTCTTTTTTGTGATAAATAATTGTATTATTCAAAAACCTGATTTAGATTCTAATAGATAATTTGAATGGAGGCCTTGAAACATGTTTTTGAAAGATTTTAGCCTTTTTGTGAAACAATGATTGATGAGTTAAAAGCCACCCGGCGTTAGGAGGTAGTTAGGAGGTAGCGATAAATGTAAGCATCCAAGGTGAATAGGCTGACTGACCTAGAAGTTTGTAGGTGGGTACGGTTGTCTATTAAATTAAGCTTTTTAATTACTTTCATTCACCATAATAATAATGTACTCCAACAGAATAGTTTTGTAACATGGACGACTAAGTGTCGAATATTGTATTTTTAAATTTTTGCCATATTGCCCTTAGTCGAGAAAAAAAAATCTTTTAACACATGGTCTATTTGTGTTTTTATTATTGTATATTTACGAACATTTTTATCAAAATGAATCAAATTTATACAAATACATAACGTAGGATACAAATAGACCCGGACTAATACCCGTATTGCAAACCGTTTAAAAAATAAGGACACAAATATATTCTTAGCATCGCGCTACGTGTTTTGTTTATCTTAAAAAAAAACACTACAAGAAGTCTATGTTTAAAATTAACAGAAAAATAATAAAAAAAAAAAAGGTTTTACTAAACGATAAAAAAGTTACATAGATCCAATTCTGCCGCGATCTACTCCATACAAACATTGTGAACAGCGGCTCGCACGCAGGAACTGCATATTTAATACCGAGTATTAAGTTTAAAAATAGTTTCTGAACTGTGTTGCAGAGTACGAGTATATAGGTCACGAACGTACACAATCTCGGAGCGTTCAGTGAAATTATTTCCCGGTGGTTACGCAACTCAGCCTTTGCCTCCTTTTTTTTTTAATAATCCTGAAAGACTCGAGAGAGGGTATAATCTACGATAAACATACGATAGGCTGTGACCGTTGACGTTTTTTTTAATCCGTTAAAAATTTAAATCAATATCTGAGTTGAGTAACTAAGGATTTTTTTTATTTACCTATTCCTGAGAATGTCGGTAAAAAATTCAGCCCGAGGCAATGATTGTAATAGTAAATGTTTAAAAACGTTTTCATACAACAAGCCTATCTAAATAATAAAAAAATCCTGATGAGTCTTCGATGTGTATTCAATTTCTCAAGTTAATCGGGCTTCTTGAAATTATAATAGCAAAAATTACGTTGAAAAATGTCCTTATATAAATAGATAAGTACAGACCAAACTAATATACTTAATCGGTTTACAAAAATATTTTTTAAACATTATTTAAATACTGGGCAGATGCATGTCGGAAAACGCAAATATAAGTAATTTCGACACTATTGTATAACGGTTTATAAAAAACTTTCTCTCAGAATTTCCTCACTAAAGATTCAAAAGTTCCGGTAAAATGGCTAAGAAATAACAAGGAAATCGAACATTAAGGTTCGTTTCTTTTTTTTTTAATTGACTACGGAATCCTAAAACCAACTTACATAACTACAGTGAGTAGTTTTGTAGTTTTACTAGTGGTGGTTTATTCACAAACAAAACACACCTGTGAAAGTTATTTTTTTGCAAGTAAAACTCGAGTTTTTATATATTTTAATCGCGTCAGCCACGCCTTTTACGGTAAAAGGGAATGATACAACCCAACAACACTTGACATCTCCATAGTGGACCACGTATATACTTAAGGAGATACTTCAACTCGAGAGAAAATAAAAATCTGAACCAGTTGAGTCGCTCAAATATTCATGCAGCGCTCATGATATGGCAATTTATAAACACGCCACAATATCTCGAGATTAATTGATAGTAATAATTAGTAGCATTAGTTTCGTTTCTCTTTTTACCTGTAATTTTGTACATCGCAACATATTTAAACCAAAGATATAAGGATGATAAAATTACAAGATGTCTTTGGAGTCTAAATTTGCATTATAAATATGTACCTAATATAAATTTAACTAGTGTTCGCGAAGTGATCGACAATCAACCATAACCATCTACTCCTCCAGACTTACATTCATTTTATTTATTACATTTTGTCTTGTATTGTTATTACTATATTCTATAATATGTATTTTTCTTGCATTTTTATTATAATATTAGCCTTAACCTTAGATTAAAATATGTAAAACATTTTTTTCATATTCCCCGTCTGTACAAAACCTTCAGGAGATATTAATTTCGGCCTTGTTCTTAGATGTAGCATTTAGTACGTCAATAGTCATAGTCAAAGTTCAATTTCAGCAAAGGACGGACACTTTATTGAACGCACGGGAGATCAGATAGTTTTGCGTTCGACTGAAATAATTATTTGTATTTTTTTGCCTGTACTGATCGGTACAACCGTCATGCTTATTTCAGCGATGAATTAGCCGTAATTAGTGTGAAGGGTATGGTGTAGAATTGATTCTAATACAATTGTAAATGATGAGCAGTTTCATAGAACTTCTTTCGGTATATTCGTCAATAAATAATACAAAACTAGAAATCCATAATTAAGTTACGACCACATATTACATAATAACATCCGAAAA